TGATCTGTTTTTCAATCAGATTGATTTTGAGGATAAATTCAATATGTTAAGAGCAGAATTAGTATTTAACCACACCCTGTTTTTACAGTAAGTCGATTTCGGAATTACATGTTTAATAAATTTATAGATACAGATCTTTGGAATTGATAAGGAGTTTTTTTTATCAAACTCTCTTATTTTTAAGGTTTTCTAAACTTTGATATCGCCCACAAAGGCTTCAACACTTTCTGATTGGTGATGTAGTACTTCTGTAATCATAATCATGTGATACATGCCCCATGTGCACCTCATGGAGGTTAAGAAGACATGTAGAAATGAAAGGTCACAAAGTTCACATTATGGCTTAGCATATATATATATGTGTGTGTGTGTGTTAGCCATGCAAGACAAAATAACAAGCAAATCAAGGTTTTAGACAAGAAAATATAAATTCAAATTAAGCTGTCATGCATACATAATCTTCTAGAATTGAAATTCACAATACAATAAATATGAAGCCCATAGGTTTAATACTAGTCCTGATTATAAGCTATGTATATGGCAGTGAATTTTGAGTCTCAAAAATTGAAATCCTTGTTTTTTTCTTTCTGTGTGACTCTTTGTCCATATCTCTTAGTATTTGGGCTCATGAAAATTTTGGAATTTATGTTCTGGACTTGATTTTAAAAAGTCCTACAAATGTTACTGTATGGAGTGTGAGAAACAGCTACAGATTCCAATAAAGATAGTAACCCTAAGTCTGTATACAAGATATTAAAGCTCTGTCCATACAATATATAAATAACCAATAAAATCTTGTTTTATAAGTGTTCTTGGATACAATGCACATGTATGTATATCTGTTCTTGGGTTTTCAACTATGCAAGGGATGTCAGCTACTTTATAAATACAGCTGGATATTTCTTTATAAAAATAAGTTTGTAGCTGTAGCCAGTCTGGAGTTATATCAGCACTAAAATTTCTCATGGATCCATATTGTTTTCACTATGACATAAAAAATGGCCTAAGTTAATGTTAACTCTAGTTAGAATGAAATCATTTTACAATTGATCCTTATGTGTTTTACACAGATTTTGTAATTGATCTTTGTATTGTGTTAGCGATAGATGAGCTGCAACACCAGTGTGTGAACTTCTAATATTGATTGTACAACTTCATAAATTTTTAGTAATATCACTGTACACATTTAAAATAGTCTCTAATGCTCATTTTTGTTATCATAGAAATTTATATTTTTTTGTAGGAAATATTTTTTAATTTGCATGATGGGAAAACGGGAGACTGGAATGTTCCTTGTTGCTACGGTTGCTATATAACATGGGTTGTCTCTACACCAAACCTGACAATATACAGGTGTTGGGTTTCACCTTCTCCTCACTTAATGGAGCTAGTCGTTGGAAGGCCCATTTTATGGTGTACTACTGAGGGATTCCTCTCTGAGTTCAAGTAAACCTCTTAAAGGTTGCCATTGGTGGGAAAAAACCATGTGTTTTTCACATTTTTCTGAAATAAACCTTGTAGATGGGGGTCTGTATACTTATATCTGTGTATTTCAACACCCCTATCACATATATATACAACCCTGTGTACTGTAAGTGTTGACCACAATAGTGCTACTGTGTAGACAAGCTTATATGTATGGCAGGGAGTTGTATATCTTTACCGAGAGGATATGTTAGGATGCATGATTTTCTCTCTAGAGATAACTGTGCATTGTGCATGTTTTGTTGTATGTATAAGTATTATAAAATCTCAAACATTCAACAGACTTTAAAATCGTGCCAACTTTTCTGTAGTAGTGATTCAAACAGATGTACACCATCTTTAATCCAAATCCTTGCCAGAACACTTGTACACTGGACAAAGGTTAGGACTATAAGATATGGAAACGTGTGATCCTCAGGAAACAGGAGCAGTGTTTTCCTGGTGTGTCTATAACCTCTTTTCTACTGAGAAGATTGTACTACAAAAACCTAAACTATGTTTGCAGCATGTTATTCTTGACAGATTGGACCACAGGGACACGCCCTGTATGACTGACACAAACCATAGGGACCTGACAAGTCTTGCTAGCTACACAGTAACACCTTATAATATGACTGAGACAAGCTGTGCAGCATAGAGACAAACTTTTGTTCTACTTAAACAAATAGTATGAACTTGTCTCAAGGAATGAGACACTACTACAGAGATGTGTCTCATGAGACACTACTAGAGATGTGTCTTATAGGAATGAGACACTACTACAGAGATGTGTCTTATAGGAATGAGACACTACTACAGAGAGGTGTCTCATGAGACGCTACTAGAGATGTGTCTTATAGGAATGAGACACTACCACAGAGAAGTGTCTTATAGGATGGAGACACTACTGCAGGGGTATATACGTCCTACAAACAGACCCTTCCATCTCCGGAACTTCTGAGATTAGACATAGTGTTAGGTATATGTTATATAACAGACTGTCACCCCTGTACACCTATCAAATCTGTTCCATAATCAATGTATTTGGTTAAACAATACTTGCATTGTAATGCTCCTTGTCCATATACCTGTGTATTACATATGTACAGACAGCTGTAGATCCAATGTAAAAAAAACCTGTGTACAATATATTTCACTTAAATCTTAATAGATGTTTATATTAATAACACAGTAACTGAGCTTTAACATCTTTAGAATATGCCCCTGATTAATGGATATTTTGGAGCTTAGGATAATGGTTACAGTACACTTCATGGCTATGAATATTTGGGATGGGATTGAAGAGTAGGAGAAGGTGAGAGGAAGAGGATAGACATATTCTGTCTATAGAAAATATTAGTATCCATGTAATTTGATTTTATCAGACTTCTCTAATAATATGATAGATAACCAGCTTTTTGGAGAGAGTCATATTATTGGATGGGTTAAATTTTGTTACCATTGAACACAAGTATAAGATTCTATTTATCATATAACAAAAAGAGAACTCATATTTGCAAAATTAGATCCTGACAGGACAATTTTTCACTGATAAGTCAGTCATATCACTGTTTATTACAATACAATACATGTATGTCATTCAATATCTATGACTGATGGGTATTACAGTAAGTGGAATATTTGACACTAACCTATTTAGCTTCTCTCAAGTTACCAATACAAATAGAGAGAATACATGGTCATTGTCTTAAAATTTAAGCCATATTTTGGCTTGGGACAGAAGGACAAAAGTGGCTCCCCAAAATACAACTTATATTTTAAGACATTGACCATGTATTCTATTTATCCTGCAACATTGATTGAAAATCAGACTATTGAAACTTAAACAGATTTGTTGTTCAATCTGTGTTTACCTTATGTTGACGTTACGCTGAATTTTGCCTGATGATGGACGCCAAAGTAATTGCTCCGCAGGGAAGTATAGTTCCAAACTTCATCTGATATAACAGCGATTTTATGAATTTTCATAGATCAACAAGTTAATTACAGCATGAAAAATGGCTTATTTCAACATGTATTCGTATTTCTAAATGTAAGAATGTAAGTAAATTCAGAGAGTAATTCTGTCAATTACCACACACATGCTAAAATACAGCTGTCACTACAGGATAAAGTGTGTGTTTATCAATCTTATACATTAGAATATCAAAACATATATTATTTAAAATAACTGAAGATATATATCATCAACATAAAAGTTGTTCTTATATGCATATACTTACCCAGTTTTTTCCTAATTCCTTCACATACATATATTTAAGTAGCCCAGGAACATTCATTTATCTTAATTTCCTATATGCCATATACGTGTAGCTGAAATGCATGACTGATGATAAGCTTTTGCTATTTAGCTTTTATTGGTAAATACAAATGATCCGAGTGTAATTGTGTTGTTATAATCATTACTTGATTGTGTGTGTTGTCTGTTGTTTTCCTGGTGTTCAGATAGAAGTCCTACTTGTAATGTCTTTTTCCTTTAAACTTTAATGTCATTTTTGTGTTGTTCATGTCCTTTTGGTTTATTTATAAAGCTGAATTTTTCAACATTTTATGAGAAATTTAGATTTGTTTTGTGTTACTTCAAAGGAGTTCTACTTTGTACAAGATGATTAAAATAAAAATATTGATTTTATATGCTTGCATCACATTTTGAGCTCACTTTGCCCAAATCAAAGGGCTAAGTGAGCATCTGTGGTGCCACAGCACCAGTCGTCTGTCCATTCATGATCATAGGCCATGTAGCACCTCCCCGCCTGCTACTGTCAACTCTTCTTTGAAAGACTTCTAAAGAACCTCTTACTCTAGGATGTAGACAAATAAATAATGCAAAAATAAAATGACATTGTCCTTTTTTAAAGGTCACTGGGGTCAAATTTGCCCAAGCAGTCAAACAATTTTCATCTGATGAACCAAAAGATTTTGAAACATATTTTGGGTTGTTTCAGGGATGGCACCCAATAAAGTGTACAGAAATGAATGACCTTGACCTTTATATTCAAGGCAACAGATGAAAAATGAAAGCATGACAAATTATATTAATAGAAGTCTATCGGAGAAGATGAGCAATATTTATATGTCTAGTGTTGATTTAAAGCATGCTTGTTTTCAAAGTTACTTAAGGAAATTTGAATTTGGCCCATTTTTTAAGGTCAAAGGTATTTGTACATATTTTATGAAAAAAGCATTGATCATGACTACTTGGTGAGTTATACAGGCCAATTGGGCTTTTAATTGTTGTCTTGGTCACTTGTAAAATGTTTTCCAGTCTTGCTCATAATTGTGGGATACATAAAGCTATTTGATAAATCTTGTTCCTGGTACAGTTTAATCCTGATCAATATAATTAATGTTAATGAAGAATGCTAAAAAAAAGTCCTAATTTCCATCATCCTGATTCTGATCACATTAAAACAAAATTGTCAAATGTTTCCTGATATTATTGACCTAAGCAACAGACAACAGTGATGTAGTGTTGTGATTCAGATCCCTAACTCACATTTTGTTATTGTTTACAGAAGAGGAAGATGATGGGAGACAATACCTCAACACAGGTACTAAGGGACCTGGAGATCTCTCTTCGTACAAACCACATTGAGTGAGTTAGAAATCTACCATGCCACCATGCTGAGAAATAGCTCTGATTCAAAGACTTTCAGGGATGGGCATATTACATGAAAAAGATACAGAATTTCTTGCAATTTCATCTAAAACTGTTATCCATGTTGATAGGCTTATTACCAGGAGTGGGCTTATCACCAGAGGTTTATATGAGTTAAAATCTTCTCCTTGCCCGTGGAAAGTCCTTAATTTGTGAAAACTATTTGTTTTCTCTAGAAACTTTTGCTTTAATCAAGAATATTATGTTATATTAGTTACCCAAATGCTAAAACAATCATAGTTTGAAGTTGAGCAGCACTTAAACTTCCATCATTTGACTTCCTTTGGTGCTTTAGAGATATGTACTTAGGTTTTACATATATGTAGTTTGATTATTTCATGGTATAAGCATGATAAAAACAAAACGAAGCAGTATTTCGATATAGAAAATAAACTTGATTATATATACAACACAAACTTTTATCCAATAAAATGGAATGTTAATGGCAGTTTGAAGGTCTGTGGATTGAATTTGATATTTTTTCATACATATTTACAACCTGTGCATATATGTCCTTGTGTTACACAGATGGGTACGAGAGTTTCTCAATGAAGACAACCAAGGGTTAGATGTACTGGTAGATTATTTGTCCTTTACACAAGTCATGATGAGGTGAGTAGCACGGTCACATTGTAGTCATCTTAGAAATAATCATTTTTCCCACAAGGTCTGATATATTAGAGAGGTTAACAGAGAGTTTACCTTGAGAAATCTCCTTCTCAGTAGCATGATCATATTGTGACAGTCTTGTAAGGAACATTCATTTTCCCCACAATGTCTGATGAAACCACACAAGATCTGTCTCAATGAAAAATCATGATGAGGTTTATGTCTAGGCTTGCCATGTATTTTGTTACAATTTTCAGGTTAATGATGATCCCCACAAGGTCTTCAATCACAGAGAATCACTTTAGAGATGAGATAATATCTGTGTATATTGTAAGCCTTTCAGATTGTAATCCTCCCCACAAGGTCTGTTAAACTACACACAGAATGTCTGTTGATGAAGAGATAAGTAATATCCCTGTTTATTGTAGGAGTCTTTAGGGTTGTAATTCTCCCCACAAGGTCTGTTAAACTACACACAGAATGTCTGTTGATGAAGAGATAAGTAATATCCCTGTTTATTGTAGGAGTCTTTAGGGTTGTAATTCTCCCCACAAGGTCTGTTAAACTACACACAGAAGGTCTGTTGATGAAGAGATAAGTAATATCCCTGTTTATTGTAGGAGTCTTTCAGATTGTAATCCTCCCCACAAGGTCTGTTAAACTACACACAGAATGTCTGTTGATGAAGAGATAAGTAATATCCCTGTTTATTGTAGGAGTCTTTAGGATTGTAATTCTCCCCACAAGGTCTGTTAAACTACACACAGAATGTCTGTTGATGAAGAGATAAGTAATATCCCTGTTTATTGTAGGAGTCTTTAGGGTTGTAATTCTCCCCACAAGGTCTGTTAAACTACACACAGAATGTCTGTTGATGAAGAGATAAGTAATATCCCTGTTTATTGTAGGAGTCTTTAGGGTTGTAATTCTCCCCACAAGGTCTGTTAAACTACACACAGAATGTCTGTTGATGAAGAGATAAGTAATATCCCTGTTTATTGTAGGAGTCTTTAGGGTTGTAATTCTCTACACACACAAGGTCTGTTAAACTACACACAGAAGGTCTGTTGATGAAGAGATAAGTAATATCCCTGTTTATTGTAGGAGTCTTTAGGGTTGTAATCCTCCCCACAAGGTCTGTTAAACTACACACAGAAGGTCTGTTGATGAAGAGATAAGTAATATCCCTGTTTATTGTAGGAGTCTTTAGGGTTGTAATTCTCCCCACAAGGTCTGTTAAACTACACACAGAATGTCTGTTGATGAAGAGATAAGTAATATCCCTGTTTATTGTAGGAGTCTTTAGGGTTGTAATTCTCCCCACAAGGTCTGTTAAACTACACACAGAATGTCTGTTGATGAAGAGATAAGTAATATCCCTGTTTATTGTAGGAGTCTTTAGGGTTGTAATTCTCCCCACAAGGTCTGTTAAACTACACACAGAATGTCTGTTGATGAAGAGATAAGTAATATCCCTGTTTATTGTAGGAGTCTTTAGGGTTGTAATTCTCCCCACAAGGTCTGTTAAACTACACACAGAAGGTCTGTTGATGAAGAGATAAGTAATATCCCTGTTTATTGTAGGAGTCTTTAGGGTTGTAATTCTCCCCACAAGGTCTGTTAAACTACACACAGAATGTCTGTTGATGAAGAGATAAGTAATATCCCTGTTTATTGTAGGAGTCTTTAGGGTTGTAATTCTCCCCACAAGGTCTGTTAAACTACACACAGAAGGTCTGTTGATGAAGAGATAAGTAATATCCCTGTTTATTGTAGGAGTCTTTAGGGTTGTAATTCTCCCCACAAGGTCTGTTAAACTACACACAGAATGTCTGTTGATGAAGAGATAAGTAATATCCCTGTTTATTGTAGGAGTCTTTAGGGTTGTAATTCTCCCCACAAGGTCTGTTAAACTACACACAGAAGGTCTGTTGATGAAGAGATAAGTAATATCCCTGTTTATTGTAGGAGTCTTTAGGGTTGTAATTCTCCCCACAAGGTCTGTTAAACTACACACAGAATGTCTGTTGATGAAGAGATAAGTAATATCCCTGTTTATTGTAGGAGTCTTTAGGGTTGTAATTCTCCCCACAAGGTCTGTTAAACTACACACAGAATGTCTGTTGATGAAGAGATAAGTAATATCCCTGTTTATTGTAGGAGTCTTTAGGGTTGTAATTCTCCCCACAAGGTCTGTTAAACTACACACAGAATGTCTGTTGATGAAGAGATAAGTAATATCCCTGTTTATTGTAGGAGTCTTTAGGGTTGTAATTCTCCCCACAAGGTCTGTTAAACTACACACAGAATGTCTGTTGATGAAGAGATAAGTAATATCCCTGTTTATTGTAGGAGTCTTTAGGGTTGTAATTCTCCCCACAAGGTCTGTTAAACTACACACAGAATGTCTGTTGATGAAGAGATAAGTAATATCCCTGTTTATTGTAGGAGTCTTTAGGGTTGTAATTCTCCCCACAAGGTCTGTTAAACTACACACAGAAGGTCTGTTGATGAAGAGATAAGTAATATCCCTGTTTATTGTAGGAGTCTTTAGGGTTGTAATTCTCCCCACAAGGTCTGTTAAACTACACACAGAATGTCTGTTGATGAAGAGATAAGTAATATCCCTGTTTATTGTAGGAGTCTTTAGGGTTGTAATTCTCCCCACAAGGTCTGTTAAACTACACACAGAAGGTCTGTTGATGAAGAGATAAGTAATATCCCTGTTTATTGTAGGAGTCTTTAGGGTTGTAATTCTCCCCACAAGGTCTGTTAAACTACACACAGAATGTCTGTTGATGAAGAGATAAGTAATATCCCTGTTTATTGTAGGAGTCTTTAGGGTTGTAATTCTCCCCACAAGGTCTGTTAAACTACACACAGAATGTCTGTTGATGAAGAGATAAGTAATATCCCTGTTTATTGTAGGAGTCTTTAGGGTTGTAATTCTCCCCACAAGGTCTGTTAAACTACACACAGAATGTCTGTTGATGAAGAGATAAGTAATATCCCTGTTTATTGTAGGAGTCTTTAGGGTTGTAATTCTCCCCACAAGGTCTGTTAAACTACACACAGAATGTCTGTTGATGAAGAGATAAGTAATATCCCTGTTTATTGTAGGAGTCTTTAGGGTTGTAATTCTCCCCACAAGGTCTGTTAAACTACACACAGAATGTCTGTTGATGAAGAGATAAGTAATATCCCTGTTTATTGTAGGAGTCTTTAGGGTTGTAATTCTCCCCACAAGGTCTGTTAAACTACACACAGAAGGTCTGTTGATGAAGAGATAAGTAATATCCCTGTTTATTGTAGGAGTCTTTAGGGTTGTAATTCTCCCCACAAGGTCTGTTAAACTACACACAGAATGTCTGTTGATGAAGAGATAAGTAATATCCCTGTTTATTGTAGGAGTCTTTAGGGTTGTAATTCTCCCCACAAGGTCTGTTAAACTACTACACACAGAATGTCTGTTGATGAAGAGATAAGTAATATCCCTGTTTATTGTAGGAGTCTTTAGGGTTGTAATTCTCCCCACAAGGTCTGTTAAACTACACACAGAATGTCTGTTGATGAAGAGATAAGTAATATCCCTGTTTATTGTAGGAGTCTTTAGGGTTGTAATTCTCCCCACAAGGTCTGTTAAACTACACACAGAATGTCTGTTGATGAAGAGATAAGTAATATCCCTGTTTATTGTAGGAGTCTTTAGGGTTGTAATTCTCCCCACAAGGTCTGTTAAACTACACACAGAATGTCTGTTGATGAAGAGATAAGTAATATCCCTGTTTATTGTAGGAGTCTTTAGGGTTGTAATTCTCCCCACAAGGTCTGTTAAACTACACACAGAATATCTGTTGATGAAGAGATAAGTAATATCCCTGTTTATTGTAGGAGTCTTTAGGGTTGTAATTCTCCCCACAAGGTCTGTTAAACTACACACAGAATGTCTGTTGATGAAGAGATAAGTAATATCCCTGTTTATTGTAGGAGTCTTTAGGATTGTAATTTCCCTGCAAGGTCTACCAAGACCACAGAGAAAATATATCTTTATCAAATAACTGGAGTAGGCCTTCTTCTATCCCTCTAGTTGTTATCAGTTGGAGAAGTCATCATTTTTCCTGTAATATCAATTTTAGCCAACCATAAGGGACAGTAAGTGTTGGTCTCCCTCTTTTTGTGACTCACAATATACAATGCTAAATCACCATGTTCAGATTTCAATGTTTATTTAGATCGTTATAGGCCCCATCATCTCTATTTTATGATATAGATATCATGAAATTTGTGTAGATCATTAAAAACTAAACTACTTGTTCACAGATTTCTGATCATAATATTTATACACCATACAAATCATTTATCCTCCATTTGCTATAGATAGCCTAAAAATAATTTTAAAAAACAAAAGACAACTCATTACTACTCATATTTATCTTGTAATTATGGCGATCCGGTCGGTATTTTGAAATATGTAGATGATGTAGATTTTCAGATATGTGTATGTCATGTATATGGGAAGTATTTCTCATGTCTAGACATACTTGGATCACTGAGCATCATAATTTGGTTTCTTTCAGGAGAGAACAGCTGTTAACCAAGGAAAAGAGTGCCAGTCTGGATGGCCTTGCAAAGAGTCCTGTTCGCCGACTGAAGCGATCCAACACTATCGGTTCTCCGCGGGGAATGTTAAAGTCTTCCAAACTGAACATGGGTGAGGCACGCGATGATGTCCACGTGTGTATCATGTGTCTACGAGCTATCATGAACCATCAGGTACTTTCATAATTACAACCTATGTTAATTACAATTTGTATATATGATGTACCAACATAAAACTTATATATACTTTTATTTTTCTGTATTTGATATAACCTTCATAAACAATGTGTTTGATTTCTCTGTTTCTACTCTTTGACATTTTGAATTAGCATGCTTTTTAGGTGAAATAGATGGCTTTTCTCAAAAGAAACTTCCTTATGTTAGTATGCTGAAGGAAAATGGTGTCCAGTTGATTTTTGATGCAGAAAGTACCAAATGTTTGTTCACTTATTTTCAAAAGAAATTTAATGCTCTTATGCAAATTTTTTTACCATTGCAGTATGGCTTCAACCTGGTGATAGCCCATAAACATGCTATCAACTGTATAGCACTAAGTCTGAACCACCGTAGTCTCAGGTTTGTATGACAGTATATAGAACTAAGTCTGAACCACCGTAGTCTCAGGTTTGTATGACAGTATATAGAACTAAGTCTGAACCACCGTAGTCTCAGGTTTGTATGACAGTATATAGAACTAAGTCTGAACCATCGTAGTCTCAGGTTTGTATGACAGTATATAGAACTAAGTCTGAACCATCGTAGTCTCAGGTTTGTATGACTGTAAATAGAACTAAGTCTGAACCGCCGTAGTCGCAGGTTTGTATGACTGTAAATAGAACTAAGTCTGAACCGCCGTAGTCTCAGGTTTGTATGACTGTAAATAGAACTAAGTCTGAACCATCGTAGTCTCAGTTTTGTTTGTCTTCGTCATTAATTGTAAACACTAAGTCTTACTATTCTTAAGTTGGTATGAATAAGTCATTATTTGAGCACTAAATATAGCCTGTTGAGTGTGAGTGTAGCAACAGAGTCAAAGCTGACATCATGATTTATGATTAACAAGATAAAACACATTACACGTTTACAATTTCAATCCCTGACTTTTTGTCTGAGGAAATCCTTTTTAGTTTTAGCTCCATTGCAGGACAAAGGCACTGGTTCTAGAGCTGCTAGCTGCAGTTTGTCTAGTGAGTGGGGGACATGAGATCATCTTGTCTGCCTTTGATAATTTTAAAGAGGTAAGTCTGCCATGATATACCCATATTTCATGATAGTATCTCTTGCTTAAATTGACAGATCTATGTTTGGGAAAAATGAAAATATTTATTTAGCATTCTTTACAAGTTTGACGAAGAACATAAGCTTTAAAGAGCTTTTACAATGACACAGCTAAGAGAACAAAATTGATGTTGTTTTGTATGTTGGTGGAAAATCCATGGGGGAAAACATAAGCACCTTAGATAAGGAAATATTTTACTCTTAAGACCTACCACCAGCTCATCTTCAGTCCATTTGTTTGAGGAAAGTAGTCTGAAGGTAATGCTTGAAGGCAATCTTAATTCAACTCAAGATTCTTGTCCCTGGGTCCAACTTTTAGTGCCATAGTAAATGTTGACAAAGATTTTTGATCAATAATTCACAGGTCATTGGATGTTGACAAAGTGAAATAGTGATAGCAACCATCACAAATAGATTTCAATCTTACTGTTTCAGGTGTGTGGAGAAAGACACAGGTTTGAGACATTGATGGATTATTTCAGGAATTTTGAAGAGTTCCATATTGATTTTATGGTAAGATTACACCAATACTGTCATATTCATCCTGATCTGCATCTTGTATATCAATTCCCTCATTAAGATTGATTTGCTAACATATGAAAAAACATATGTATAACCAAATTTATATTAGGTCATTCTCTTAATACAGGCCTCAGGTCACCGTGATATCACTATAAATAGAAACTTGATTAGTTGTCTTAACACAGGCACCCTCGTAATACAGGCCTCGGGTCACAGTGATGTCACTATAAATAGAAACTTGATTAGTTGTCTTAACACAGGCACCCTCGTAATACAGGCCTCGGGTCACAGTGATATCACTATAAATAGAAACTTGATTAGTTGTCTTAACACAGGCACCCTCGTAATACAGGCCTCGGGTCACAGTGATATCACTATAAATAGAAACTTGATTAGTTGTCTTAACACAGGCACCCTCGTAATACAGGCCTCGGGTCACAGTGATATCACTATAAATAGAAACTTGATTAGTTGTCTTAACACAGGCACCCTCGTAATACAGGCCTCGGGTCACCGTGATATCACTATAAATAGAAACTTGATTAGTTGTCTTAACACAGGCACCCTCGTAATACAGGCCTCGGGTCACAGTGATATCACTATAAACAGAAACTTGATTAGTTGTCTTAACACAGGCACCCTCGTAATACAGGCCTCGGGTCACAGTGATATCACTATAAATAGAAACTTGATTAGTTGTCTTAACACAGGCACCCTCGTAGTACAGGCCTCGGGTCACAGCTTGCAGCAAAATCACTTCATTGAAAATAATTCAAAGAAGTCTTTATAAAGTTTGCATCCTTATGGGATTGGTCACAGGTGTAGGGTTGGTAACTGGAAACCATATAAAGTTTGTCCTTACGGGATTGGTCACAGATGTAGGGTTGGTAACTGGAAACCATATAAATTTTGCGTCCTTATGGGATTGGTCACAGATGTAGGGTTGGTAACAAAAAAACATATAAAGTTTGTCCTTATGGGATTGGTCACAGATGTAGGGTTGGTAACAAAAAAACATATAAAGTTTGTCCTTATGGGATTAGTCACAAGTGTAGGGTTGGTAACAAAAAAACATATAAAGTTTGTCCTTATGGAAATCTTCACAAGGCCAAAACAGGGTTACAACAAAAAAAAAACAAAATATAAGTTTATGCTTTTACCGAATTTATGGGATTAGTCACAGGTGGCTTGTAGTTTGGTTGGTACATTCAAAAAAACATATAAAGTTTGTCCTTATGGGATTGGTCACAGATGTAGGGTTGGTAACAAAAAAACATATAAAGTTTGTCCTTATGGGATTAGTCACAAGTGTAGGGTTGGTAACTGGAAACCGTTACTCAGAGCTTGATAGATTATTCTGCTACTTGGAAATCTTCACAAGGCCAAAACAAAACTACAACAAAAGTAGCATATTAAATCTTCAAAATATAGGTTTATGCTTTTACAGCGAATTTAGATTGGTTTGTATTATAATGGAATGTTTCTTTTACAGGTGGCTTGTATGCAGTTTGTGAATATTGTGGTACATTCAGTGGAGAACATGAACTTTCGTGTACATCTACAGTATGAGTTTACACAGATTGGCCTGGACGACTATCTAATGGTAAAAAGATCTGATCAATTACATGGTATAGGAAGCTTTTATACAAGTGATCTGGTTTATACAAGTGATCTGGTTTATACAAGTGATCTGGTTTATACAAGTGATCTGGTTTATACAAGTGATCTGGTTTATACAAGTGATCTGGTTTATACAGTGATCTGGTTTATACAAGTGATCTGGTTTATACAAGTGATCTGGTTTATACAAGTGATCTGGTTTATACAAGTGATCTGGTTTATACAAGTGATCTGGTTTATACAAGTGATCTGGTTTATACAAGTGATCTGGTTTATACAAGTGATCTGGTTTATACAGTTATCTGGTTTATACAAGTGATCTGGTTTATACAAGTGATCTGGTTTATACAAGTGATCTGGTTTATACAAGTGATCTGGTTTATACAGTGATCTGGTTTATACAAGTGATCTGGTTTATACAAGTGATCTGGTTTATACAAGTGATCTGGTTTATACAAGTGATCTGGTTTATACAAGTGATCTGGTTTATACAAGTGATCTGGTTTATACAAGTGATCTGGTTTATACAAGTGATCTGGTTTATACAGTGATCTGGTTTATACAAGTGATCTGGTTTATACAAGTGATCTGGTTTATACAGTGATCTGGTTTATACAAGTGATCTGGTTTATACAAGTGATCTGGTTTATACAAGTGATCTGGTTTATACAAGTGATCTGGTTTATACAAGTGATCTGGTTTATACAAGTGATCTGGTTTATACAAGTGATCTGGTTTAGAAAAGCTATCTTTAAGACTGAAGAGTTCTTCTTTGATGTGTACAAATATGCAATTTCAATATTTCACACATACATCTGTGAAAGATTCAAATTGTGAATTGTTCTCAACAGATCAGGCATGTGACAATAACTTATCCTACTAATATGTGTTGCTTTATGATTTCGGGTCTATTTCACTATACTCATCCATTCATGAATTCAAATATCAAAACGGTATTTGAGGAAGCTGTTTTAAATTCACAGAAGAAATAAGGCCCTTTATTAATATATTACTATCATTATTCAGAAACTTCGACACACTGAGAGTGACCGGCTGTCAGTTCAGGTACATGCATACCTGGACAATATGATAGATGTACAACAACTTTTGGAGGATTCAGAGACCAAGACAGAAGCATTGGAGCGTGCCGAGGACCTAGAGGATGAGCTGTCACATGTTAGTTTCACACAATACTTATTGATTGTTGTCTGTCTTGCCCCAGAAAAAAACATTCTAGACCTTATTTGAAGTAGACTCTGCTTCATGTATTGTAAAGGTTGTATCTCTTGTTCAAATGGTCACAGTTCTACGTAGCTCTTGGTGCAGAAGGGATGCATATTTTGTCAAAGTCGTGAAAAGAAATGTTCCCATGTGTTGCTTTCTTTATGAATCTCATCATTTTCAAGGTATGTTTTTTGAGGTTTTATTCCAGCTTGGAAAATAGTGAAAAATAGAAGCCCTTGAAAACAACAAACTTTTTAGTATGTATCTCCCTTCAATTTGGGCACCTTAGTTATCTAATACTTACTTTATAGTTATCTAATACTTACTTTATAGTTATCTAATACTTACTTTATAGTTATCTAATACTTACTTTATGGTTATCTAATCCTACTTTGTCTTTGGACTTTTGCAGTGACTTTGGGAATATTGCTTGTTATCTTCCGAGATTTAGACACAGAATGATCTTCCCTTTAATCTTTTTTTGTTTTTGTTTTTTTTTTTTGTGAGGGAAGTTACACTTTTAATTCATGTGTTCTTTTTGAATAATAGAAAGGTGAATAGAAGATGGATATGAGTGTGGATCTTGCACTGCTTAAGTGTCATATTATTTATCTTTACCATTTACATACCATTTACTATCAGGACATCATAGTTGATACATATTAAACCACATCTATAAACATGTGTACATTTTCCCAATGTTACATGTTTGGATCAGTTAATGTGTGTTTTCTTTAAAATTGTCTATTATCCTGTACTTCAGGCACATGAAAGACTTCAAGAGGTAGAGGAGGAAGCAATGTCCAAAACAGGTATGTCATCAAGCCTTGTGAGGAGGCACTTCCTTCTTTCATAATGAAAACATATTAAGCAGATGATCCAAATGATGTGACTGGTCTACAATGCTTAATAGATCTAGATAAACAGTCTTCCTAACTATTAAATATATAAGTTAATACTAAAAAAAAGTCTGTTTGAATACTTCCTCTTTTTTTTTAAATATTGTTTGCTATGTTAAAACTTTATATGAAGAGAAAATGAATAGAAAAAAAACTGACACTAAGTAATAAAGATCAGTAAGTTGGATGTCATGATGGACAAGAGAGATGATATTGATAGAGAGATGTATATTTTATGTGATATGAACCATGTGATTTTAAAAATGAACAATGGTTGTCATGATAGGTCTGGGTCAACAGATCTTAAATAGATACATACAGATTTTCCAACTTGCTTGTAACTTGATCTAAGTAATTTCTTTTATTTTGTAGTGGAACTAGAGAAGCAGTTATCAGATGCAAATCAAGACATTGAGGAGCTGCGAGATTATTTATCAAAGCAAGATCTAGAAATGAACTCTTTACGACAAGTTGTGAATGAAAAAGACGAGGAGTCAAGGAAGAGACAGAGCATACTTGAAGCTAAACTCCAGGAGATCGAACAAATTAAACAGACTCTTCCTTCAGGTGAGTTGACTGGAAAACCTCAATTGTCTTTACTTTAAATTTATCAGAGAGTTTCTTATAAATATGGCCCCAACTACCTTGACACCTTAACCTGACATCAAATTGGTGTTTAAATTCATTTATTGTATGTAATATTCAGTTTGTATAAAGTACTTATGTCCATCAAACTTTTCAAGTAAACTGAATTGTTTCCTGTACAATGATAAAGATTAATGTAATGATAACTATTTGAAAGCAGGGAACCAGCCTTTAATTAATACATTATATGATTACAGGTGTTGGAGCTGCTGCTGCTAGTGCTCCAATGGCCAATTTCCCCCCACCCCCCGCCCCTGCTGCACCCATGCCCCCACCCCCTCCACCACCTCCACCTCCAGCACCTCCAGCCCCAGGGCGAGGACCACCAGCACCCCCACCCCCACCAGGACCTTCACCTGGATCTGGATCCTCTATGTCAGGTAAGTTCTGCATTAAGGAAAGACTATCAGAGATTTGTATCAATAAGTCTGGACATTCTATATGGTCATATGTTATAGATTTTTAAGTATTTATATATGTGCTTTGACAAGGCTGACAAGAAAAGAAGAATATCTTGCATGTTTTCCAATGTGATAATGGCAGCGTGAAGTTTGAAAGCAATGTATTTCTTCTTGGTAGCAATGACAATCAAAAAGAAAATTCAAACCAAGTACCGTCTGCCCATCCTCAACTGGACACCTCTTAAACCTCAGCAAGTCAAAGGAACCGTGTTTGCTGATCTGGATGATGAAAAATTGTACCATGTAAGATTTTTTACTCATTAAATAAGTAATAACAAGTGGTGTTATGTAGGTATCCATTTTATTTATCCAATCTTACTTCTGGTCTGAGCATTTTATACATTGTGAAACATTTGCTGCTGACAATGTTGTAGTTTTCAGACCTGTTTGAAATTCACTGTGAGTACAGACCAGACTTGAGGCTGTATTGAGTGGATTTGATCTATAATATAGTTATATCACTCTTACAACTACAATGTTTCGACATGTTTCTCATTCAATGTATTCTAAGGGGATACAATAAATATATAATGCTTCCAGTTGGAGAAAAAAAGGTGTATTTAAATCTGTTTTAATGTGAAATCTCCATTGCATTGTTATGTTATCTCTCTTGTTATCAGCCAAAACAGCATTATTGCAGATACATTATAGGAAAATCTGATCTTGTGTCTCATCTCACATGATAAGTATTTTAACAAATCTGCTCAACTCTCATAGGTACAATGGCTCTACCTGGAAATTCAGTACAATCTCTGGTTCAGAGTTTATGTTTTACTGTCATGTTTTATAGCTGTTAGATTTTGTTTAACAGGTAATAGACTTTAATGAGTTTGAGGAGATGTTCCGCCTGAGTACAGGTCCACTGAGAGGTGACGATGATGGCACACCTAAGTTACTCAAGAAGTTACGCAAACCTGAGAGCATCAGTCTCTTGGAACCAAACAGACTACGCAATGTTGGTACGTAATGGTACAAAGTTGGAGAGTTAGGATACAATGTCTATAACATTTCATACAATGTTGAAGAGTTATGATACAATGACAATAACATTTGATACAATGTTGAAGAGCTATGATACAATGTCTATAACATTTGATACAATGTTGAAGAGCTATGATACAATGTCTATAACATTTGATACAATGTCTATAACATTTGATACAATGTCTATAACATTTTATACCATTTTGATAAGATATACAATGTCAATAAAGTTACATAATAAAATTCTGTTCACTTGTATTCTTACCAATTTAACCTGAAAATGTGATTTGTTCTGCAAGAAACACTTGAATGAGATGTTATACCTATTTTGTCTTCCCCAGCTATAACCAGGCGTAAGATAGAAATGACCAATGATGAAGTGATGAAAGCTATTAACAGGTAAAATAGAGTATTAAACTTAATACTGATTTATCTTTACCCTAATTCTATCAGCAATTAATAATCCTGATTTTTCTTACTCAATAGTGGAATTCACAAAGTGTTTAGATCAATTGACAGTGAAGTGTGTTTTTACTCCAATTATACATGCTACTGCTTATTGTCACCAATCTGTCTTTTGTGAAATTAACCCATGTGATTGATTACAGTAAGATTCAGATTGTCACTGCTGCTTGTTTAGACCATCTGTGTTCAGTGAAACCAGCCACAAGATTTTCTTATGTCTTTGTAGTATTGACCTGAAACGACTGTCTCTGGACATGGTGGACATCCTTCTCACCATTATGCCCAATGAACAAGAGGTAAGTAACATTTAATGGAGGTTGACCTAGTTCACAGACATTCCTGTTAACATTGTTGATAATTTCTGTTAACAGTGAAGCTGTAAACATGTATTTGATTAACTGGTTTTGGTCTATATATTCCAGTCGTTTTATGTAAAAGATCCTTTTTCCATATTGTCATCATGTGACCTTGGTGTTTGTGTGGATTTTGTTGTAAAATTGTCATCATATGACCTTGGTGTTTGTGTGGATTTTGTTGTAAAATTGTCATCATGTGACCTTGGTGTTTGTGTGGATTTTGTTGTAAAATTGTCATCATATGACCTTGGTGTTTGTGTGGATTTTGTTGTAAAATTGTCATCATGTGACCTTGGTGTTTGTGTGGATTTTGTTGTAAAATTGTCATCATGTGACCTTGGTGTTTGTGTGGATTTTGTTGTAAAATTGTCATCATGTGACCTTGGTGTTTGTGTGGATTTTGTTGTAAAATTGTCATCATGTGACCTTGGTGTTTGTGTGGATTTTGTTGTAAAATTGTCATCATGTGACCTTGGTGTTTGTGTGGATTTTGTTGTAAAATTGTCATCATGTGACCTTGGTGTTTGTGTGGATTTTGTTGTAAAATTGTCATCATGTGACCTTGGTGTTTGTGTGGATTTTGTTGTAAAATTGTCATCATATGACCTCGGTGTTTGTGTGGATTTTGTTGTAAAATTGTCGTCATATGACCTCGGTGTTTGTGTGGATTTTGTTGTAAAATTGTCATCATGTGACCTTGGTGTTTGTGTGGATTTTGTTGTAAAATTGTCATCATGTGACCTTGGTGTTTGTGTGGATTTTGTTGTAAAATTGTCATCATGTGACCTTGGTGTTTGTGTGGATTTTGTTGTAAAATTGTCATCATGTGACCTTGGTGTTTGTGTGGATTTTGTTATAAAATTGTCGTCATATGACCTTGGTGTTTGTGTGGATTTTGTTGTAAAATTGTCATGTGACCTTGGTGTTTGTGTGGATTTTGTTGTAAAATTGTCATCATGTGACCTTGGTGTTTGTGTGGATTTTGTTGTAAAATTGTCATCATGTGACCTTGGTGTTTGTGTGGATTTTGTTGTAAAATTGTCATCATGTGACCTTGGTGTTTGTGTGGATTTTGTTGTAAAATTGTCATCATGTGACCTTGGTGTTTGTGTGGATTTTGTTGTAAAATTGTCATCATGTGACCTCGGTGTTTGTGTGGATTTTGTTGTAAAATTGTCATCATGTGACCTTGGTGTTTGTGTGGATTTTGTTGTAAAATTGTCATCATGTGACCTTGGTGTTTGTGTGGATTTTGTTGTAAAATTGTCATCATGTGACCTTGGTGTTTTTGTGGATTTTGTTGTAAAATTGTCATATGACCTTGGTGTTTGTGTGGATTTTGTTGTAAAATGTGACCTTGGTGTTTGTGTGGATTTTGTTGTAAAATTGTCATCATGTGACCTTGGTGTTTGTGTGGATTTTGTTGTAAAATTGTCATCATGTGACCTTGGTGTTTGTGTGGATTTTGTTGTAAAATTGTCATCATGTGACCTTGGTGTTTGTGTGGATTTTGTTGTAAAATTGTCATGTGACCTTGGTGTTTGTGTGGATTTTGTTGTAAAATTGTCATCATGTGACCTTGGTGTTTGTGTGGATTTTGTTGTAAAATTGTCATTATATGACCTTGATGTGAGTGAGGATTTTCTTGTAAAATTGCCATCATGTGACCTTGGTGTTTGTGTGGACTTTGTTGTAAAATTGTCATTATATGACCTTGATGTGAGTGAGGATTTTCTTGTAAAATTGTCATCTTATGACCTCAGTGTTCGTGTGGATTCTGTTGTCTAAATGTCATCATGTGACCTTGATGTTTGTGTGGATACTGTTGTCTAGTGACTTTTACTGTTGTATGGATACCGTTGTCATGTGACTTTTACTGTTGTATGTATACCGTTGTCTTGTGACTTTTACTGTTGTATGGATACCGTTGTCATGTGACTTTTACTGTTGTATGTATACAGTTGTTGTGTGACTTTTACTGTTGTATGGATACCGTTGTCTAGTGACTTTTACTGTTGTATGGATACCGTTGTCATGTGACTTACTGTTGTATGGATACCGTTGTCATGTGACTTTTACTGTTGTATGGATACCGTTGTCATGTGACTTTTACTGTTGTATGGATACCATTGTCTAGTGACTTTTACTGTTGTATGGATACTGTTGTCATGTGACTTTTACTGTTGTATGGATACTGTTGTCATGTGACTTTTACTGTTGTATGGATACCGTTGTCATGTGACTTTTACTGTTGTATGGATACCATTGTCTAGTGACTTTTACTGTTGTATGGATACTGTTGTCATGTGACTTTTACTGTTGTATGTATACCGTTGTCTAGTGACTTTTACTGTTGTATGGATACCGTTGTCATGTGACTTTGACTTTTGTATGGATACCGTTGTCATGTGACTTTGACTTTTGTATGGATACCGTTGTCATGTGACTTTGACTTTTGTGGATACTATCTTTATGTGACCTGGATTATTGTTTTGATACCATTATCATTTGACCAATTTAGTACAACTAATTAATGAAATGATGTAAAAGATATTGTTTTATATATGATGTTTTGTTGTAGGTGAAGGCATTCAAACAGTATGAGAGGGATCGTAAACCCAAGGAACGCCTAACAGACGAGGATAGATTCATGTGGATGGTAGGTTAACGACCTATGTTATATCTTTTTATGATCCAGTAAAATCACTCATGATGATAACCAACAACAATTTTTAAACATATTGGACTACCATGTTTTACACTGAACTTTTTTTGCCTCAAAAATGGCTGGGTTTTTTTTTTTTCAAAAGCTCAGTCTCCATAAATCTTCTACCTTCATATGATGTCATTTTTTGTATAACTTGTCTGTTAGTTTTCTATATCATTCCTCAAGGATCAAATAAATTACTTCCGTTTGTATTTTCTTGTGGATGCTGAAAGTGACAGCATTACATTTCCTTCACAATGATTGATCTGCTAGTATCCTTGTGATGTACACATGCTGTCACTTCTGATTGTTTTACTGGGATTAGAATTGTATCTGTTATAAGTCAATCTGTGGTGAGCTCTACAATCATCAAAATGTGCTTGGACTTGATTGGACGAAGTTTTTTTTGTGATTCCAGTGTTGTAAAGTAGAGAGATTATCACAAAAGTTGAACATCATGAGTTTTATCGGGAACTTCCAAGATAGTATACACCACCTGACGCCAGTAAGTATATAACCAAAGAAGAAAATCTCTAGATCTTCATCTGGTTTACCACTTCAAGATATAGTGTTATATTCCTATAGTATTAAGTCCATGCCTGATGATAAGCCCACCTATGTCTATCGCTGTTCAGAAGAATTAAAAACACATTCTATTTTATTGTTCTGTAATAAGCCCACCCAAATCTGTTGCCATTCAGTAGAATTGAAAGCACATGCTTTTTCATCAACCCAGAAATACATCCATCACTGATATTTTTGTATGTTGACCTCCTGGGCTTATTTATGGTTGAAACAGTAACTCTTGTCTCTGTGCTGCTTGTGTTTTATGATTTTACAGGAAATAAGTTTTGATCTGATATACATCTGTGTGTTTGATAATTTTGACATGATCATGACTGAATTTTAACCCTAATTACACATGAACACATATCATTGACCAGTGCTATCTTGTTTTACAGCAAGTCAATGCTGTGATAGCGGCTTCTATGTCATTGAGGAATTCTCAGAAAGTGAAAAAAATGCTGGAGGTAGGTTGATGTGGATTTATGTAAACAGCGGGATCTATGAATAGTTTATCAGTAAATTCACTTTTTTATCAAGTCTATTAATAAGGTTAATATCTGTTTATCTTGAAGCATGTTCCTCTCCTTTTGTGTTATTTCAGATAACTGTCATGTACATATATTTCTCTTACAGGTTATTCTGGCGGTTGGGAACTACATGAATAGTTCTAAGAGGGGAGCTGTGTATGGTTTTAAACTACAGAGTCTGGATATGGTGAGAATATATCAGTTTTGATGACTACATTTCAACCTTCTTTTCTCAATCATACAGGATAGCATATGTATAGTGTCTGGTAGAATCTGAAATAAGACTTTCCAGAGTTCTGTGGGATTTACTTGGCAGCACCTCAATCATCACATAAACAAGATAGATATCTTATGTTTTATTAAACAGATGTATCCATGATCAAATTCTCCTTAGCTGGGAAAGGTGTTAATAACACTGGTGAAGAAATTGATACTTTGATATCTACCCACATGTGTGCAAAACCAAATCTGATACATGATAAAACCTACTTTCATATTAAAATCATGAACAAAATGCTTTTTCATATAATGTTTCCACTGTCACTGCCATTAATACAGATGAACCAGTTGGTCAGCTTTTTAAATGTAACATTTTCAGCTGAAATTAAGACAGACCAGCAGATATATGGATACAGACCTTGAACACCTTTACAGATGATTAGGCTCATATTTGTTCCATAAGCAAACAACCTTAGTTTCAGTGGTCAAACTGAAGAACAAACCAGTCCTGGACACTTCACAATTCTTGCTTGTTGTATAGTTTTGTAGAAGTGAGATTGTCCATATTGGCACATTTTAGGTGTGGATCTAGCTATATCTAGAATTCAAATTGTCACCTGTTTAACAAAGATACTGAAACAATGGACTACGAGGAACAATAGATATATCACATCAGTAGCTTCGTTAACTTTAATCACAGGTTTTAGGTATTCAGTGCCTGACAAAATTGTGCCCGATAGAACTGTCACTGACTTGTTTATTTATGCCGATAGAACTGTCACTGACTTGTTTATTTATGCCGATAGAACTGTCACTGACTTGTTTATTTATGCCGATAGAACTGTCACTGACTTGTTTATTTATGCCGATAGAACTGTCACTGACTTGTTTATTTATGCCGATAGAACTGTCACTGACTTGTTTATTTATGCCGATAGAACTGTCACTGACTTGTTTATTTATGCCGATAGAACTGTCACTGACTTGTTTATTTATGCCGATAGAACTGTCACTGACTTGTTTATTTATGCCGATAGAACTGTCACTGACTTGTTTATTTATGCCGATAGAACTGTCACTGACTTGTTTATTTATGATAACTTCACAGTTAATGGATACTAAATCAGCAGACAAGAAGACCACACTTGTCCACTACCTGGCACAGATAGTCAACGAAAAGTTTGTGGACCTGCTGAACTTCGAATCAGAGCTGCGTTTCTTAGAAAAAGCAGCAGTTGGTATGTATCTTGGGAAGGGTTTGGTGTGTTATCTAATCCACAATCATCAGAGGCTGGACTGATCAAATCACCCATCATCAGTCCATTCATCCTTTAAAAAGTCTTGTTTTCATCTTTTCTCAAAAAGTACTGTATGGATCTTTTTCAGATTTCATGATATAGATTGCCTTGGTCCCTAGTCGAGCCCTTTTGGGATCGATCAGATGAACAAAATGGCTGACAGGTTGGATTTGACATTTAAGGATTATTGGTGTTGTTTCTTAGAGGAATTTTCAAATTTCTTATTATTAGTAGCAAAAACAGAGGAAAAACTATTTGAATTTGAAAGCGAAGAACAACCTTTAAAGAAAAACATTTTCAAATTGGATGAAATGAATTTGAAAATAGCTGTAATTGAGAGTATTAGACGTAAATCATCATTCAATATTTATGTAAGGCTTTTATCCAATGGTAATTGATCATTTATAAGCATGTATCAATAATTTATGTTATATGTAGTGCAAAGGTTATTTTCAATTTCAGTGTTCACTACTTTTGACGATTAGATATGATTATGCAAAACAGATACCTTGAAATTAAAAGTAATGGAGAAAACCTAAATCTGTTTAATAATTTCTGAGAAAATACTTTCTTTTTGCTTTTTTCAGAAATTTTATAAAAGTATGAAAATTTGAACCACCCAAAACCAGCTTCTGTCTGTTTAGGAACATAGCTGTTGTAGTGTTGTATGATATGACTAGGTCACAAACAGACTCAGACTTTGTGAAAGCCTTATATTAAAACATACTTGACATCATTCACTTGTTTAACTTTGTAGTATCACTGGAAAATATTCTCACGGATGTTCATGAGTTAGAAAAAGGAATGGACTCGACCAAGCGTGAATTTGATGCACGGAAACATGCTAGAGACCAGCCACCTATTCTGAGAGATTTCTTACAAAACTCGGAAGAAAAACTTAAAAAACTGCAAAGTGATGTTAAAACTGCACAGGTATATACATTAGACTTTGGTATATATACATTATGTACTTGGAAAGGAAGAAGAAATATATTTATACACTGTTAAGAGAGACGACTCTGTCAGTGTTGCCAACTTACAGGGTCTCATGAAGTCAACCTGATATTGGCCATATCATGACTTGCTTAAACTGTGAAAAATGCTAGAATCATTTGATATTTATTTTATCTTGATCAATTTTCAAATTTCAAGATTAATTTTTTGGATCTAATATGGTTGTAATAATACTTAAATTCCAGTAGTTGTGATAACAATAGAATCAATTATATTTTTTCCTGATGACCCCTTGGAGCACTCTGTCACCCTTGATATTGAATGCCATAAACAGATATTATTTGACAAGAGGTTGGCCACACTTTTATACCTTCAAATATCTCAAGCAAAAATTAAAATCCATTCTCGTGAAAGTGAACCACTGTGTGACATTCACGGTATCTGTTCTGTTGACTGTCAAATTTTTCCTTTCAAATTGTTGAAGTTAAGTACGTGCTCTGATTGAATGTGTCGGTTTGTGCATCAAATCCTCTCTGGATTATCACATCTACTTCTTTTATCCTTGATTATTAAATTTTTCACCTAACGGGATGGCAGATTCAAATACCATGCTCCAGATTCATCAGAAAACTGTAGAAGATAAAAGATGGATTCATCATGCAGTATTTAGAACCAATGAATTGATAATTGTTGAAGCTGTAACAAGTAGGTATATGTTGTATATCTCAATATTTCAGGATTCCTACAAACGAGTAGTGGAATTTTTTGGAGAGAATCCTCGGACAGTGTCTCCACAGACGTTTTTCTCCCAGTTTGTACGATTTGTTGGTGCTTTCAAGGTATGGCTTTTAAAGAACGGAGATGTCTCAAGGACTTTGTTACAGATTTTATTGAGTGTATGGTGTTGATGTTAATGATTTATGGTATTTATGTTCAGTTTATACAATGCAGGCTGTCCAGCGTCCCTAAAATTCCTAAAAAAATCCTAATTTTTTTCAGTTTTGCTAAAATTCCTAAAAAAATGAAAAATTCAAAAGAAATTCCTAAAAAAGCCCTAATTTTTCACTTCAGTTCCTTCTTTTTTATATTTCTTACAATTTACTGAAAATGTTTTCATTAAATTCATACTTAAAATGTATTTTAGTGTAGTCTGTAGTTCTAATTCAGGGTAGACAATGAAAGGCAGTTGACCAGTGGATCTATGTACCCAGATTGTTATTGGTTGTGACTGAGTGACAGAAGTGTGACTCATAAGGTCACAGCCAACAGCAGCTGGGACACTGAAACCCTGGAAGACACCTTTCCTTCAATTAAGGCATTGTATGTTAGTTTCTATTTTGTCAAATTTGCAAAGGTAAGTCAGTTTAATGCTTTCATACTCTCTATTCTAGTTACAAAATTCCTAATTTTAGCCCTAAATTTGCCACAAAATTGTGTAATTTTAGCCCTAAATTTGCCACAAAATTTCGTAATTTTAGCCCTAGATTAAGCCTGTACAATGTAATAAGTCTTCAAATATCTATGAAGTTGTTTGATATTTTCTGTTCAACTTCTACACTGGAATTAGGTCAGAAACATCTGTGAAGTTAATTTCTACACTGGAATTAGGTCAGAAACGTCTGAAGTTAATTTCTACACTGGAATTAGGTCAGAAACGTCTGTGAAGTTAATTTCTACACTGGAATTAGGTCAGAAACGTCTGAAGTTAATTTCTACACTGGAATTAGGTCAGAAACGTCTGTGAAGTTAATTTCTACACTGGAATTAGGTCAGAAACGTCTGAAGTTAATTTCTACACTGGAATTAGGTCAGAAACGTCTGTGAAGTTAATTTCTACACTGGAATTAGGTCAGAAACGTCTGAAGTTAATTTCTACACTGGAATTAGGTCAGAAACGTCTGTGAAGTTAATTTCTACACTGGAATTCAGTCAGAAACATCTGTGAAGTTAATTTCTACACTGGAATTAGGTCAGAAACGTCTGTGAAGTTAATTTCTACACTGGAATTAGGTCAGAAACGTCTGTGAAGTTAATTTCTACACTGGAATTAGGTCAGAAACGTCTGTGAAGTTAATTTCTACACTGGAATTCAGTCAGAAACATCTGTGAAGTTAATTTCTACACTGGAATTCAGTCAGAAACGTCTGAAGTTAATTTCTACACTGGAATTCAGTCAGAAACGTCTGTGAAGTTAATTTCTACACTGGAATTAGGTCAGAAACATCTGTGAAGTTAATTTCTACACTGGAATTCGGTCAGAAACGTCTGAAGTTAATTTCTGCACTGGAATTAGGTCAGAAACGTCTGTGAAGTTGTTTGCAGGTTGCATTTTGTCTTATTTATTGATGTCACTTTAAACTTGTCTCAATTCTTCTCTCTTTCTCAACACAAGCACGATTCATTCCTAAATTTCCCCAAAGTATTATTCTTGTCATGTACCTTCTGCTGGACTTGTCAGAATCTTAGTAAATATCTCTGGCACTCAGTGAGTTTAGAATTGTGAACTTGATATTTCAATGATCTGTTTTTAGCAAGCAGTGGCTGACCTCGAGAAGAAAAGAAGGCTGGAGTCTGCTGCCATGGAAGAAATATTACCTAGTTCTCATGGGCGGAAGAACAAGAAAACAACAGCGGTCAGTATATACGGAGAGACACTTAAATTAAGGGTCACTGATGGAAAAAAATCGATAATAACAGAGATCTCTGGTGAAAATGAGAATCACACAAATGTAGTTGTAGATCTTTGTGACAGAACAATGTCAGACACCTACAAACCTCCGCAAAATGTTGATTTACTAAACATGGTGTAGGTCTATGTAACCTTTCCAAGGTCAAGGTTCAGAAATGTCACAGAATGTAGTGATAGGTCTCCCTTACACAACTAGGTTACACAACACACAAGGTAAAGATCTTCTACAGGTAAACCTGGTTGTACAAGCGTTACTGTGGAATTTGATATATGTCAACAACGAGAGGTTATTTCTTCTTTTAAACCAACATGTCTTTGCTCTGCCAGATTTTCCCATTGCCATCAGAACAAAATTTCTCCATCTTATGTTTGGCCAGAAATAATCATGGATACTTGTTCATTTTGTTTCTCATTTGCTTTCATTGAAGGAAAATAAATGCAAAATAAGAACAAACCTCAATAATTTATGGTTTAAAATTTACAATATTTAGAAATCCTTTTTTGGTCTATACTAGTTGTGTCCATTGCCTTTCCAGGATTCAGTGTTTCTGGCCTTTTCCAGGCAGTTCCCCAAATAACAGGGTTGTAAGTGGTGTCTATCCCTACATTTCTTACTCCTGTTGACTCCAGACTTGCCCAGATTGATTTTTGCTCAGAAAAAAACCCAGACCTCCATAAAAAAATTTTTTTGAGAGATTCCTATTGGAACCAGATCCATTTCTTCCTGTCTGACACATTCCATCCTCTACCCTCTCTCTCTCTCAAGCCGTTATTTCCCAAACAGAGAGATTCATTCATTCCTAGTCTTGGAGATTACCAGAAAATCCCAACCTTGTCAGCTGGACATTCAAGAATCTCACCCAATCATGTATCAGATATGACTGCCATTCATTCACAGATTTATGCGGCTCATTTTTATCACATTTGACTTTTGTAGCCTTTTTCCCTTCCTCAATAATGCCCTTCTTATCTCTTATAGAAAGCTTCTTATTTACATATTTTCTGAGGTCATCTTAATGTATTTCAGTTTGTTGTGATATGTCTCAGGATAGTAACTCCAACAAGTGACATCTTTACAGTTTGAAATCATGGTAGATAACTCTAAATGACAGGGGAATGTTTCTGTGATGAAAAGGAATTTTCTTTCTTCACTTTGAAATTTTGATTTTGTAACCAATAACACAAAGGTATGTGTACCTGTAATTCTGTTGGTCAATCTTCTACTTCTATCATACTCTTCTCTGTAAATTAACCACCAAAGATATATACCCACCACCATTTTATGTTATGCTGTGTGCATCCTTCCGATCCACATTTAATGATTCATTCTTTATATCAAGACTTGCTAAGGCCTGAGATGATGACTGTATGTGTTTATTTCAGGAGGCTGTGGTTACTGAGCTAAAAACAAGAAATCGACAAATCAAGGAAAAGAAATTGTTGGGAAAGGATGAAGTTTATCACGGGGCACTTGAAGACATCCTTCTTGGTGGGTAGACAGTATCTTCAGCTGCTGTAGCTAAGATCTATTGACCTCCTATATTGTTAATATAGTAGAAAAGTTCTCAAACATTGTGGTATTTACAAGAGTGGTATCACTTAGTTATTCTGGTATTTAATTTTTTTCTACAGTGATAATTTGGAAAAGTAGGTATGTTTTGTTTGAACTGTAGTATAAATTATGTAATTTAATCCTTGTAGACCTGAAGAACGAACCGTATCGCCGTGCCGATGGTGTAAGGCGGAGTCAAAGACGTCGTGTTGAGGAGGGATTAGCACCTGCGTACAGTCACAACGAACATTTCTAACTTACTTTCGGGTACACACTAGATTTCCATCATCATTATGTAAAGATTTCGCACTCAGAGAGGTTAATGAAAGTCAAAGGCTTAATAAGAAGGCTGAAAAGGCCTGTTAAAGACTTACAAATGTACTCGTATTCTAACCCAATCTTATAAGCTAACTTTTCAAAAGGTTATTAATAACACTAAGCAATTGCTCTGCTTTAATTTCATTCATAAAAATTCTTTTCTAGGCATTCATTAGTGTTTTAATACCTACATACACACCTCAAAGCAAGTATGTACACTCAGCATATACACTTCAGGTATACACAGACATAATATACACTTCAGGTATACACTTCAGGTATACACAGACATAATATACACTTCAGGTATACACAGACATAATATACACTTCAGGTATACACAGACATAATATACACTTCAGGTATACACAGACATAATATACACTTCAGGTATACACAGACATAATATACACTTCAGGTATACACAGACATAATATACACTTCAGGTATACACTTCAGGTATACACAGACATAATATACACTTCAGGTATACACAGACATAATATACACTTCAGGTATACACAGACATAATATACACTTCAGGTATACACAGACATAATATAATATACACTTCAGTATACACAGACATAATATACACTTCAGGTATACACAGACATAATATACACTTCAGGTATACACAGACATAATATACACTTCAGGTATACACTTCAGGTATACACAGACATAATATACACTTCAGGTATACACAGACATAATATACACTTCAGGTATACACAGACATAATATACACTTCAGGTATACACAGACATAATATACACTTCAGGTATACACTTCAGGTATACACAGACATAATATACACTTCAGGTATACACAGACATAATATATAACTCATGTAGCCGAGTACAAACACATACTTCAGGTATACACATACATAATATACAACTCATGTAGCTGAGTACAAACACACACCTCAGGTATACACAGACATAATACACACTTCAGGTATACACAAACATAATATACACTTGAGTACAAACACACACCTCATGTAGCTGAGTACAAACACACAAATATACACTTCAAACACACACCTCAGTACTGAGTAAAACACACAACTCATGTAGCTAGTACAAACACACTCAGTACATAAAACACACAACTCATGGTATACAAACACACACCTCAGTAGTATACAAACACACATAATATACACTACTCATGTATATGAGTACAAACACACAACTCATGTAGCCGAGTACAAACACACAACTCATGTACAAACACACACATGTACATAACACACAACTCATGTAGCTGAGTACAAACACACACCTCATGTAGCTGAGTACAAACACACAACTCATGTAGCTGAGTACAAACACACAACTCATGTAGATGAGTACAAACACACAACTCATGTAGCTCAGTACAAACACACAACTCATGTAGCTCAGTACAAACACACAACTCATGTAGCTCAGTACAAACACACAACTCATGTAGCTCAGTACAAACACACAACTCATGTAGCTCAGTACAAACACACACCTCATGTAGCTGAGTACAAACACACAACTCATGTAGCTGAGTACAAACACACACCTCATGTAGCTCAGTACAAACACACACCTCATGTAGCTGAGTACAAACACACAACTCATGTAGCTGAGTACAAACACACACCTCATGTAGCTGAGTACAAACACACACCTCATGTAGCTGAGTACAAACACACACCTCATGTAGCTGAGTACAAACACACAACTCATGTAGCTGAGTACAAACACACACCTCATGTAGCTGAGTACAAACACACAACTCATGTAGCTGAGTACAAACACACACCTCAGGTAGCTGAGTACAAACACACAACTCATGTAGCTGAGTACAAACACACACCTCATGTAGCTGAGTACAAACACACACCTCATGTAGCTGAGTACAAACACACACCTCATGTAGCTGAGTACAAACACACACCTCATGTAGCTCAGTACAAACACACAACTCATGTAGCTGAGTACAAACACACACCTCATGTAGCTCAGTACAAACACACAACTCATGTAGCTGAGTACATTCACAAGCCCATAACACTATTGTGACTGACTTATTTGATTGGTTTTATGAAATGAGATAAATGAAACTAGCTTCTGGTGACTGGATGCTGTTGTGTGATCAGAGTAACTACCAAGTAACTTCTGAATGGCTGCTACTGATTCGTTCAAAGAAGCTGGTGTATGATTGGTTGTTACCAATGTTATGAAAGAAGCTACCCTCCGATTGGTTGCTGCTGATCCAAATACTTACAGGGACTGATTTCTGATCAGTTGTTTTCCTTCTTCTTCAAAGGACATGATACTTCATAATTATTATATAGATATTTCTAGTCGCCAGGATTCTTTGATCAAATTGCTTATTTTCTGTTGTGTAACTGTTGTAGAATATATGTGTTGTCAAATTTTAAATTGTGGAGAAACATCATGTACTATATTTTTAAATGAATTTAAAAACAAAAAATCAGGTTTTATTTTTTCAGAATTTGATATGTTTGCAAGGTTGACTCTATCAAGGTTGTGTAAGCAACTTAGTCTGAATCTGTTTTTTGTTTATTTGTCAAACTTGTATGCTGATACAGTGATGTTTAAGTGTAGTGTGCAATAATTTTTAGTTTCAAACATGTCTTCTAAAAAAAAAGCTATGGTCAAATTCCAAATTCTTGCAAACTGAAAGCAATGTTTCAAAAAAATATTTGAAAAAAGTCCTTCACAAGATTTATACTTTAATTGATTTGTGGAAATTACAATGTGTTGTATTATCACAAGTGACATCTTGACCACTGACTATTCAGCTAAAGCAAGGTTTAAATTCCGCATATTTCAATAATGTTTGTAAATATTTCATCAGAGGAGTAAATGGATAGCAGTCGCCCTTTATTTTCTACTACACAGTACCACATACGTAAAGAAAACTTTTATTTCTTTTTAATTTTTCTCTTAATAACGACTTATTAAAAATACTGTCGGTTTTTTCTTTGAATTAAAGAAAAACAAATAGAGATGAAAGATTTTTTTCATATTTTTTTTCTAGTTTGATAAATAGATGTAAAAAAAATTCAATGCAATAAAAAAAAAATGGGAAAATTGAAATATTTGCTTTTAAATGAGTACAATGTATAAATGTAGGTTTTGAAATTTGGTGCATTCTCTTGCTTGTAGACTAGGTTGTTTGTGCTGCAGCTTCCTACAAGTTAATTAGCATTATTCTGCTAATTGATGTTTTCCATGTAAACATGTGCTGTTTAGTCATCTGTTTATTTAATAGTTATTGCTTTTCATTTACAAAACAAATAACAGTCATTACTCTATGTAATTTATCAATGTCATGCTTTGGAAAACAAATGGCCAGTTGTCGAAAAGTCATTTTATATATAGATTTACATACATGTATGTATATTGAATGCATTTTATACACTATTTTCAAAAGTTTACCATTACAAACTTTATAACAACGCATTTTAACAACTCACTTAAAATTCAAATATCAGATTTTCACTGGCTCAGCATGCAAAATTAAATTTGACTTTTTCAATGTACAAAAAATATTTACACATGATGGATGGGAGAAAGCTGTTATGTAGGAGAGATACTGTGATATATACATTATTGATGACTAAATATGATATATTTCAAGATTGATTTCTATTAGAAAATTTTCCTTCCTGTTCTAGAAAAGATTGATAGGAAAAAGTTGGGATTTTTTCAGTATCTCTGATTATACATCAAACTTTCTGCTGAATTGACCATTTGCATAATGCAAAAATGCCATGGTTGTTTGACCTTTGACCTGTGAGGTGGTGAGGTATTGTTTTTGGCCATTATCATGGTTTGTCTAATGTGTTCACATCTATAAATACTCTGTCATCATCTCCACCTGTCAGAGGTGTTCATCAACCTCTTTGTTTCTGTAGCAACTACCAGATGAAAAACATTTCAAATGATCTCCCTTGTTTAGAAACTTTGATTCAAGATTTTTTGCACTGAAATTGTTGAAGGATTTTACAAGTTTCATTTCATGGCATAGCCGTCTGCTTTACTAGGCAGAGACTAAAGAAACTACACTGATGTTTTTTGTTTAAAGAAATTCAATCTTCTATTTCCTGTTATTTAAATTGTCAAGAGGTTCCACTCAAAATCCATTTTTCATTCAGATAAATCTTACCTCATTTGCTGTGAAGTTTGTATATGAAACCAAACATCTCCACAAATTGTCTGTTAGTGGTTTAGAGATATGATCTCCACTGTGTGAAAACATACATTTCAAGTAAAGTTTTAATTTGTTGTACTGCTGTGAAGGGGAAAGGGAGAGATGACCGGTTTGTTGATGCCATTGAAAGAAAAAAATAGTATTTCAACTCTGCGCAATCTCTTGTAACTGCTTGCCAAAGATAATGTATCATAGTGGTATTTGTTCTTTAATTTTGAGACTTCAAGTTTTGAAGATGTAATTCATTGTTTTCAATTGTCACTGAATGTGTCATATTATATTGTGTTCAAATAGGTGTTGTTGGTCAAACTTAATGTGTTGTGGCCACAACACTTCCCAATAGCAGCATGAAGGGCAGTGAGATGGCATACCTTTGTAGATTAGAGGCATTCGTGTGGAGTGACAATATAATGCTATACAATGTCTGCGGTGGTCTGAAAAATCTCATCCTACCCATTCCTTGGATAATTTATAAAGAATTATTACCTGCAGATTGCAGGTCATTTATCATCACTTGATCACCTACCGCTCAGTTTGTTTTTGTTTTTCCTCATCAGATCTGCCATTATTAAGTTCACCAATAGAAACATTTCAACAGAAAATAGACATGTATGGCGTTATCAGAGAAAAGTGATGTTTAGAATAAGACATGTCGGTTCATTTCCTGTAGATACTTCACTCTCCAATCATACCCATCCACAAGTGTCACTCTTGCACTGTACCTGTCTTCTAATCACCCTTGGGATGTGTCATAACAAAATTGAATATTGCATATGCAAGTTGTAGTTTCTTGGCTGATTGTGATGTCTTTGATAAGATATTACTACCGATGAAGGGAAGGTGTGAACGACACACTTACTATAGTATTGAACAAAGTATTGATACTATTGTATTGAAGTATTCAAATAATCGAGTCAAGTATACAACGACCTCTGTGATTGGTCGGGGGCGGAGTTTAGACAACCTGAAAAGTTGATCTGACACCCAATTTGTTCCGGTAGGCGGAGTTAATGTACACTACCAGTTACATAACAATTACTTAGTAATCGCTGGAAAAATGTCCGACGACGGCAACAGTACGCAAAATTTTCTTCGACGAAATTATGTCCGATACGAACGATATGGGGAATCCTGTTTTTGTACAAGGCGATGTGGTTGTGATGGATAATTGTGGATTCCATCACCATAGACAGGGAGAGCGCATTTTAAGAAATATGCTGAAAGAATATGGCGTGTCCCTGGTTTTTCAGCCGCCTCATTCCCCGGAATACAACGTAACTGAATATGTATTCAATGTCATGAGACGGAGGCTTCGGGCAAATACCCGACTTGTGTCAGAATTTCTGGAACTTGCAGTAGTAAATGCTCTAGATATTCCGCCCAACCAACTTCAAAGTTTTTTCACATGTTGCGGATATGTATAATTTTCGATGGAAAGATAAAAAATAAAATAAAAAATATATGGGACCACAGAATTCCTTTATTTTTTAATGCAGTATGAATTATCGGCATATATCAGGAGGTCCCAGGTAATTCGTAATTCTTTGTTACATATAATAGAGCTTGGGCTTAAACCGAAATATTTTGAGCCAACCCTCCCCCCCCTTTCAAAAAATAAATAAATAAAACTAGTACAGAATGACTATATGACTATATTCACTGTTAAGATGTTATGAATTCTCCGGTCCCAGTGATCTAACCTGTTGATATATATTTTGTACGTAAATTAGTTTAGTACTGAGTAACTTTCATTTTCTCGTTGTACCATCGATGGAAAAGCAAGGTATCATTGGGTGTAGAACGAAACAAATGGGACAACCCAATTAGGTCTGATCTGAAGCCACCTGTGACTTGGACTCTTCCAATTAACCTCTCGCGACAGTCGAGTGTTTGTAAAATGCCGATGTCTGCACAGTATTTTTTCACCTGGCTCCACCCACAATCGATCTAGACTTGGCTCTGCCAATCAGAGAGCTTGTTGCATAAATTTAAGGAATTCGATTGGTGAAGTACTTCAGTACAATACTATCAATACTTTGTTCAGTACTACAGTACTTGAAACGTTCACACCTTCCCTTCATCGGTAGTAAAGGAACTTTGTTTCTTAATAGGTGTAATATCGACCAACTTCATGTTCAAAAATAATTAAATTTTGTAAAATTCAAAGGCAGGTCTGGATGAAGGATTGGATATGTTACTTATTGTGTATTGCCCTTTTTCACCAGATGAATACCAAGTACGCCACGATGCATGTTTATTGCTTAATGAATTTTGAAAACATTCTATAAGATAGTTTTTCATTTACATAATAATATTCTGTGTCATTCTATGTATTTATATACAAAATCATTGTAGATTGAAATTTGATGATTTTGTAAATTCACACCTTTCCTAGAGAATACACAACAGTATGAATGTTTACCTATTTTACAAGGAATACCAGGTTTAAATGAACAATAATCAAGACACTCCACAAAAAATTTAGTTTGATTTTAAATTTTAAAACTCGAGTATCAACTATAGTTGGCTCAAATTTTGAGTGTAATAGTTTTGTATTGGTTCTTTACTAAGGGATGGGGAAACAAGGGTTGTCTTCCCTTCTTAAAAACTGTTCACACGAGTTTGTCAAAATTAATCAGCATTTCAATGTCTTCCATAACTAAAATAATGTTGGTTCATGTCATATCATTCTTCATCAAACCTAGTAGGTCACATACTGTAAATTGATATATTTTTTGTGGGGCTCAAATTTCATAATTAAAATATAAAATAAAAAAAGACATGGATTTATGTGGCTAAATAGCTTTTGCAAAATAGTGCTAAAATTCATGTGAAATATGAAGCTATGGGCTCATGGATTAAGTCCCTGTGAAATCAGTTATTTTATAATGTCCGACATGTGTTTCATCAAGATGAATGACCATACTCTCTCATTGTCAACATCATTTCATCTGTACAAGTTTTATTACTGTAAAATATACTCATAAACACGGAATATTATTTTACAAATTACTTGGGTATGTTCTAATATTGAGATAGAAAGTAATGATGAAGCTACTGGCTGTAAAAAGTTATGATATTGGTGCAGTATTGAAATTTTTTAAATATTCTGAATTGAAATTTAAAACATTTTGAATACACAGAATTCTGAGACCATGGTGTCTGTGACATCATTAGGGGAGGAGGGATCATTGTTGAAAACACAAAAATTGTGTCATGTTATTGTAAGTTTCTGGTCTTTAAAATGATACCTTGTGATTATGTTCAACTGTAATCGGAAAAGAAACAGACAAATCACCAAAATCATAGATTCATAAAAAGTGTGAACTGTTAATAAAATTTGTTGATTTTTGTAGATTTTTTAAGTGGTTTGGTTGATGAAAGAATTTTTGATCAGAGTTGTGGTATGATGATGTTGTGTAGAAAACTACACAATATGATACCAGTTGTTATTGTCTGATAAGAATAGGAAAATTATCTAGTGAACTCATAGTGCTTTTAAAAGATGCATATTTAGATATTATCCAGGAGACAGTATTTTTACTGTGTGTTTATCTAATTCAAGACTGATGCAATTTTATTTTCAAATTTGTTACATATGCAAAAGACTGTTTTGATGAAAGATTTGGAAAAGTTAATAAACACTGAATGCTTTGATATAGAAGATTATTAAGTAACAAATGTTAAGGTTTTGTGAATGCCTCATCTCCCAACAGTAAACAATTTAGTTGTAAATCTGTTACATGGGGGTACACCCGTTATAGATGGAAGAGAAAATAGATTTTATTGACGTAAATTTTGTGTTGATTTCTGATGCATGAAAAACTTTGCTATTCAGAATCTTTTTACCGCCAGAATATTTCATTCTGAATTGGGTATACAGAATACATGTTTTTTTATTCAAAGTTGTCAGCTTGAAGATTACATTGAATTTTTCTTCATTTTGGATATATTAAATCGTGCGTTAGCTCAGCTGAAAAAGTAAAAATTATCTGCGACAAGTGAATAATATGAACATTTAGCAGTGGTTGGTATCAGGGACAAGTATTAACACAAATTTGATTTGTATAACTATTTAGGAATGACAAATTTCAAACAAAATTGTCTAAAGCTTGTGCTATTATAGTCTAAATCTGGACTCCCTTTACTTTACCAAATACCGAATCTACACTTAGGATTTAATGCGCACTCTGTACTTGTTCAAAATTCTGCTGAAAAAGTTTACTTTATTATTCAACAAATATTCTATGTGTTTATATTTAAAGGTTTAAAATGCCAAAAAAGTAATATATATATATGAACATTGACATTGAGTACTTATCAGTAGCACATTATGTCCCTATTTTAACATTCCTTTTCATAGTACAAAGTATTAGCAGATTTTTTTCAACTTTATCAAGTTAAATGAAGGCATCACTTTACCAGTACTAAATAATAGTGCTATAACATATATATATATTGGACCAATCTGAAGCCACGCTTGGGGTAAGTGGTCCAAACACTGCACCACTTCTCTTTGGGGGCAGCTGACTCAGTGACAAGGTCTGGCTTGTATTACAATCCGTGATGTTTTTGTACAGATTGCAAGACAAAGCAACGTCTGATGTATTTAAAGTATTCATACATTTTACAATGCAATTTGTAAAATAAAATATCCTATTATGTGTTGTGTTGTGTTGTATCTTGTGGTGATCTAGTTTACCAGAGATTATTGGATATTTTCTGTGGAGAGAGAAACATAAAAATATCAACTCCAGTTGTGTAAAACGTATTTAATTTCATTAGAAAAAGTCTTAAATATCTCATTTATATCTATTCTTCAATAAGCCCATGCCTGGTAATAAGCCCACCCACAGATATCATAGTTTCCACAAATAGTAAGCTTTTATCAAGGTAATGTTGGTTGGTTACAGATTTTCCCTCTCCGACTATTTGCTTATCATTGTTTCACTGATGAACATTGGTGTTATGGTAACATGTTATGATCTTCCTACCTCATGACAGAGGAACCAGTAATATCGTCTTCCTACCTCGTGACAGAGGAACCAGTAGTATCGTCTTCCTACCTCGTGACAGAGGAACCAGTAATATCGTCTTCCTACCTCGTGGCAGAGGAACCAGTAATATCGTCTTCCTACCTCGTGGCAGAGGAACCAGTAATATCGTCTTCCTACCTCGTGGCAGAGGAACCAGTAATATCGTCTTCCTACCTCGTGACAGAGGAACCAGTAATATCGTCTTCCTACCTCGTGACAGAGGAACCAGTAGTATCGTCTTCCTCTCTCGTGACAGAGGAACCAGTAGTATCGTCTTCCTACCTCGTGACAGAGGAACCAGTAATATCGTCTTCCTACGTCGTAACCAGTAATATCTTCCTACCTCGTGGCAGAGGAACCAGTAATATCGTCTTCCTACGTCGTAACCAGTAATATCGTCTTCTTACCTCGTGACAGAGGAACCAGTAATATCTTCTTCCTATCTCGTGACAGAGGAACCAGTAATATTGTCTTCCTACCTCGTGACAGAGGAACCAGTAATATCGTCTTAGAACTTCCTGATTTTTACGATTCTTTCCAATTTACAAGTGAGACGGTTCAAATACAGCACAAACATTTTTGTTAGCATTTTAATGTTTACATAAATATCAACAGTAATACCCCAGATGTGGTCCTCTGACATCGGCTTTTTAAAAAGATAAATTCAAAAGTCTGTGTCATAACACCTGACTTGGGTTCCAGCAAAGATGGGATTGAGTGTCCAGTTGGTTAAGACTGACCATTTCTTGGTCACTTAGAGAGAAGGAGAAGATGTCCATGTTGTCTCTAATATGGTCTGAATTAGTAGACTTTGGAATTACACCTGTAAAATAAAAGCACTTTGTCAATACACAAGGAAAAGACTAGGGCAGTAATGCAGATCACTGCCCATTCATGTTAGACTAAGGAGAACATCACGGTACAGGATGAAAGAATTCTTGTACCTGTACATACACAAGTTTTTAGGAACTTGGAAGAAAGAAATTCGACAGAACCTTAATTCAGGCATTTAATAGGTAGGTTATATTGAACATATATTGAATATTTAAACTTATATTTTAGACGTTTAATGCTAGTAGACTTTCTGGATTTTGTAGACCAGAAATGATTTCTTAGCATGTTTGACATCTCATGCTAGTAGGCATGCTGGATATTCATCTCTGTTTGATAACCACACAACTTACATCATCAATCTTATCATGGTAAATGATAGACTCTATTTTCCAGGGGCCGACTGAGGTTTACCCATGTTTATATGTTAGACCAGTTGGACGTGGGTATAATAAGGATAGACTTGGTCACCAGCCTGGACTAAGCCTTTTTGAGGCCTGTTATTAATATCTGCAGGTTGATCTTGATTTATGCCTGAAATGCTAAATTTAAACTGACAAAACAGTTTGTCCAGATAAACAAACAGGCCCCTGTAAAACACATAGTTTTCTGATGCTCACTAAATGGAAAATCAACACAAGAATTCTTTATGTTTGATTTGAACTCTATATTTCTAAACTTGATTTTGAATATATGTTTCGTGTACATATCTAAACTGAAATAAGACTGCCTCCAAGTGCAATACCTACCTATACCTTGTTGCACAGCCCAGCGGAGAAGAACACGAGCAGGTGACACTCCTCGTTGTTTCGCGATCTTACACACTACAGAGTCTGTCAGCAGCTGTAACAGTGACACTTTTATATGTGAAACAGATCAAAAAGTCCACAATTACAAGCCATACCAATAGTAACAATCATACATGTAAATATTCACTCACTACCCTATTATCCCTTAAAGGCACTGGAGCGTGACTGGTCCCTCTAAATGTGCCCATACTGTGAAGGTATGTATATAGTTTGGACGTTCAGTTGTAATGCCATTCTGATCTCCCAGAGTAACTTTGTTATCATCCTGTGATGAGCTTGACAGTCGATAGGGCTTGTAATGCTAATGAAAGTGTTAATCTTGACAGTCGATAGGGCTTGTAATGCTAATGAAAGTGTTAATCTTGACAGTCGATAGGGCTTGCAATGCTAATGAAAGTGTTAATCTTGACAGTCGATAGGGCTTGTAATGCTAATGAAAGTGTTAATCTTGACAGTCGATAGGGCTTGTAATGCTAATGAAAGTGTTAATCTTGACAGTCGATAGGGCTTGTAATGCTAATGAAAGTGAAAGTGTTAATCTTGACAGTCGATAGGGCTTGTAATGCTAATGAAAGTGTTAATCTTGACAGTCGATAGGGCTTGTAATGCTAATGAAAGTGTTAATCTTGACAGTCGATAGGGCTTGTAATGCTAATGAAAGTGTTAATCTTGACAGTCGATAGGGCTTGTAATGCTAATGAAAGTGTTAATCTTGACAGTCGATAGGGCTTGTAATGCTAATGAAAGTGTTAAGCTTGACAGTCGATAGGGCTTGTAATGCTAATGAAAGTGTTAATCTTGACAGTCGATAGGGCTTGTAATGCTAATGAAAGTGTTAATCTTGACAGTCGATAGGGCTTGTAATGCTAATGAAAGTGTTAATCTTGACAGTCGATAGGGCTTGTAATGCTAATGAAAGTGTTAATCTTGACAGTCGATAGGGCTTGTAATGCTAATGAAAGTGTTAAGCTTGACAGTCGATAGGGCTTGTAATGCTAATGAAAGTGTTAAAAGTAGGGCTTGTAATGCTAATGAAAGTGTTAATCTTGACAGTCGATAGGGCTTGTAATGCTAATGAAAGTGTTAATCTTGACAGTCGATAGGGCTTGTAATGCTAATGAAAGTGTTAATCTTGACAGTCGATAGGGCTTGTAATGCTAATGAAAGTGTTAATAATTCTTAATTGTAATTTTTGTTCCTGCATTTGTTTTCATTGATTTGATTTGCTTATCAACAATTAAAGACTTGTATTGAATGATCAATAAATTAAAGGGAAACAACTCTACAAGCTTAATTTCATATCTTCATATTCCTTACCTCAGATGGAATCTATTGAAGATTTGATTACAGGCACATATTTCTAATTAACAAGGAGCTTCAAAGGGTAGCATTATCCCCCGTACCCAGCTGTTCATGTAAAACCCAAATATGATTTATATATATATTGGTATAACAATTTGTGACATCACACCACTACTATCACCTGAAGATCTAATACAGTGAAAGCACTAGTTAGTGCAAAATGTAACATCTTCTTTTGTCTATTATCAATTAAATTTCCTTGCATCTCCTCAACTTCAACATTATATATATACATATATCTTATATATCAACCTTATAGTAAGAGTTTATATCTTGATGTAGATCCTGTGTGTTTGACTCATGATATTTGGATAGAGCTTGGTATTGTCCATAAACAAATTTATGCAAGACTCTATAAGCTCTGGAGCAATACAAGCTGTCAAAAGAAATAAAAAAAAATTGATGGTGAAGGACAAGTATCAATAATAAAACATCCTCAATAAGAAAAGGCACAAATAGGTTGCTAACCTAATATATAACTAATTTTGAGTTTTTTGGTAACATGGTAACAGAAAAAATATTAAGAAAAAGAAATGTCATCAATAGCAAGAATCACAACTAGGACACAAACCTAATATATACAGAAAGTTTTGTGAAGTTGAGTGGAATAGTTCTGAAGTTGCAGCCCGGAAAGGAAAGTTAAATGTCGCCAATCACAAAACGTACAACTAAGGCATTAACTTAATATATACAACAAGTTTTGTGAAGTTGAGTTGAACAGTTTTGAAGTTATAGCCTGAAAAACCCTCGGCATGCACAGAGCCTAAATTAATATCACAAGCAAATGTGTTTGGTGGGGAATAATTAAGGAATCCAAATTACCTTCTTGATCTAGAATGTTCTGTGGAAGACTGTTAACAACTTTCACAGCAGATATACTTACCGTATTGCTGTCAGTTGTGGTACCTAGGGAAGAATATGCCTGGAAGTGAATTCCTTTACTTCTACAGAAGTCCACCAATCTTCTTTGTACTAGGTGCGGATGATACTCAATCTGTCATAATAATAACACAGCTTAGAGAAAAACCAATATATTCCTAGAAGTAACAGTGTGGTATACTACCACAGCTGGAGTGTGCTGTGCAGTAAACTATGGGACGACTGGAACGAGCTTTGTGGTTGCCTGTAGGACAACTTGAATGTGCTTTTTGGGTACCTTTAGGACAGGTAGAGTGTGCTGTGAAGTACCTGTAGGACAGCCTGAGTTTGCTGTGAAGTTACCCATAGGACAGTCTGAGTGTGTTGTGTAGTTACCTGTAGGACAGCCTGAGAGTGCTGTGTAGTTACCTGTAGGACAGTCTGAGTGTGCTGTGTAGTTACCTGTAGGACAGTCTGAGTGTGCTGTGTAGTTACCTATAGGACAGCCTGAGTGTGTTGTGTAGTTAACTGTAGGACAGTCTGAGTGTGTGGTGTAGTTAACTGTAGGACAGTCTGAGTGTGTTGTGTAGTTACCTGTAGGACAGTCTGAGTGTGTTGTGTAGTTAAATGTAGAACAGTCTGAGTGTGATGTGTAGTTAACTGTGGGAAAGCCTGAGTGTGTTGTTTAGTTACCTATAGGACAGCCTGAGTGTGTTGTGTATTTACCTGTAGGACAGCCTGAGTGTGCTGTGTAGTTACCTGTAGGACAGCCAGAGTGTGCTGTGTAGTTACCTGTAGGACAGCCAGAGAGTGCTGTGTAGTTACCTGTAGGACAGCCTGAGTTTGCTGTGAAGTTACCCATAGGACAGTCTGAGTGTGTTGTGTAGTTACCTGTAGGACAGCCTGAGAGTGCTGTGTAGTTACCTGTAGGCCAGTCTGAGTGTGCTGTGAAGTTACCTGTAGGACAGTCTGAGTGTGATGTGTAGTTACCTGTAGGACAGTCTGAGTGTGCTGTGTAGCTACCTGTAGGACAGTCTGAGTGTGCTGTGTAGTTACCTGTAGGACAGTCTGAGTGTGATGTGTAGTTACCTATAGGACAGTCTGAGTGTGTTGTGTAGTTACCTGTAGGACAGCCTGAGAGTGCTGTGTAGTTACCTGTAGGACAGCCTGAGTGTGCTGTGAAGTTACCTGTAGGACAGTCTGAGTGTGATGTGTAGTTACCTGTAGGACAGTCTGAGTGTGCTGTGTAGTTACCTGTAGGACAGTCTGAGTGTGCTGTGTAGATACCTATAGGACAGCCTGAGTGTGTTGTGTAGTTAACTGTAGGACAGTCTGAGTTTGTGGTGTAGTTAACTGTAGGACAGTCTGAGTGTGTTGTGTAGTTACCTGTAGGACAGTCTGAGTGTGTTGTGTAGTTAAATGTAGAACAGTCTGAGTGTGATGTGTAGTTAACTGTGGGAAAGCCTGAGTGTGATGTGTAGTTACCTGTAGGACAGTCTGAGTGTGATGTGTAGTTACCTGTAGGACAGTCTGATTGTGATGTGTAGTTACCTGTAGGACAGTCTGAGTGTGATGTGTAGTTACCTGTAGGACAGTCTGAGTGTGTTGTGTAGTTACCTGTAGGACAGCCTGAGAGTGCTGTGTAGTTACCTGTAGGCCAGTCTGAGTGTGCTGTGAAGTTACCTGTAGGACAGTCTGAGTGTGATGTGTAGTTACCTGTAGGACAGTCTGAGTGTGCTGTGTAGCTACCTGTAGGACAGTCTGAGTGTGCTGTGTAGTTACCTGTAGGACAGTCTGAGTGTGATGTGTAGTTACCTATAGGACAGTCTGAGTGTGTTGTGTAGTTACCTGTAGGACAGCCTGAGAGTGCTGTGTAGTTACCTGTAGGACAGCCTGAGTGTGCTGTGAAGTTACCTGTAGGACAGTCTGAGTGTGATGTGTAGTTACCTGTAGGACAGTCTGAGTGTGCTGTGTAGTTACCTGTAGGACAGTCTGAGTGTGCTGTGTAGATACCTATAGGACAGCCTGAGTGTGTTGTGTAGTTAACTGTAGGACAGTCTGAGTTTGTGGTGTAGTTAACTGTAGGACAGTCTGAGTGTGTTGTGTAGTTACCTGTAGGACAGTCTGAGTGTGTTGTGTAGTTACCTGTAGGACAGTCTGAGTGTGTTGTGTAGTTACCTGTAGGACAGTCTGAGTGTGATGTGTAGTTAACTGTGGGAAAGCCTGAGTGTGATGTGTAGTTACCTGTAGGACAGTCTGAGTGTGATGTGTAGTTACCTGTAGGACAGTCTGATTGTGATGTGTAGTTACCTGTAGGACAGTCTGAGTGTGATGTGTAGTTACCTGTAGGACAGTCTGAGTGTGGTGTGTAGTTACCTGTAGGACAGCCTGAGTGTGTTGTATAGTTACCTGTAGGACAGCCTGAGAGTGCTGTGAAGTTACCTGTAGGACAGCCCGAGTGTGTTGTGTATATTTACCTGTAGGACAGCCTGAGTGTGTTGTGTAGTTACCTATAGGACAGTCTGAGTGTGCTGTGTAGTTACCTGAAGTACAGCTGGTGTGTGCTTTGTTGTGTCTATGACATCCTCAATGTGATGTTGTAGAAAATTTGATACACCTATCGATTTAAGTTTCCCTGAAAAGAAAATAAACCCATTACAGTTATTCATTGAAAGAGTTCCATCTTTTTAATAAGTTAGTCAGGACAAGTTCTGCCAGTAATATAATTAATGTTGTATCTTAATGATATCTATGTCACTGTGACAAGTAAAACTCAAAGTTAGTCAGGACAAGTTCTGCCAGTAATATAATTAATGTTGTATCTTAATGATATCTATGTCACTGTGACAAGTAAAACTCAAAGTTAGTCAGGACAAGTTCTGCCAGTAATATAATTAATGTTGTATCTTAATGATATCTATGTCACTGTGACAAGTAAAACTCAATCAATAATAGGAAACTTTGAAGAGAACTGTCCATCAAAATGATTCCACTACAATACCATCATCCCATATGCTCAACAGTATTGTTGTTGAAAATTATTTAAACAACAGATCCTGTAAAAACATGTCGTCCTGCCTAATTTTCTTAAACAAAAATATTTTCTGAGAATAACTGATATCTTCTGTGATATCTCACCTTCCTTCTGCAGTGCGACCATTTCACCCCAGCTCTGTAAGCGAAGGTCGCGGTGGCGGGCATCACAAGGCTGCATACCCTGTGTCCCTGGCCAGTGTATAAGGTAAAGGTCAAGGTAGTCACACTGGAGGCTGTGGAGGGACTGGAGACAACTTTCTCTACACCGACCACACCCCTGGTTCTTAGGACCTGTCAGAGGTACAAGTGTGTATACAGGTACTAGTTATAGTAGAGGAAAGTCACACATAAGACAATTTGCCTAAAATAAACTCTTTACCTAGTTTACTGGTGATGAAAACGTCCTGTCTCTTTAACCCATATTTGGGTAGGAGTTCCTTTAGGCTCTCTCCAATGTCTCCTTCATTTCTGTACACAGAAGCTGTATCTACAACATCAAACAAGATTCTTAACAACAGCACAAATATCTATACCAACACTAACAGGTCAACAGGGCCTGTATCTAAACATACACCAACAGGTCAACAGGGCCTGTATCTATACCAACACTAACAGGTCAACAGGGCCTGTATCTATACCAACACTAACAGGTCAACAGAGCGTGTATCTTTACCGACACCAACAGGTCAACAGGGCCTGTATCTATACCAACACTTACAGGTCAACAGGGCCTGTATCTATACCAACACTAACAGGTCAACAGGGCCTGTATTTATACTAACACTAACAGGTCAAAAGGGCCTGTATCTATACCAACACTAACAGGTCAACAGGGCCTGTATCTATACATACACCAACAGGTCAACAGGGCCTGAATCTATACCAACACTAACAGGTCAACAGGGCCTGTATCTAAACATACACCAACAGGTCAACAGGGCCTGTATCTTTACCGACACTAACAGGTCAACAGGGCCTGTATCTATACCAACACTAACAGGTCAAAACGGCCTGTATCTATACCAACACTAACAGGTCAACAGGGCCTGTATCTATACCAACACTTACAGGTCAAAACGGCCTGTATCTATACCAACACTAACAGGTCAACAGGGCCTGTATCTATACCAACACTAACAGGTCAACAGGGCCTGTATTTATACCAACACTAACAGGTCAACAGGGCCTGTATTTATACCAACACTAACAGGTCAAAAGGGCCTGTATCTATACCGACACTAACAGGTCAACAGATACAACCGACACTAACAGGTCAACAGGGCCTGTATCTATACCAACAATAACAGGTCAACAGGGCCTGTATCTATACCAACACTAACAGGTCAACAGAGCGTGTATCTTTACCGACACTAACAGATCAACAGGGCCTGTATCTTTACCAACACTAACAGGTCAACAGGGCCTGTATCTATACCAACACGAACAGGTCAAAACAGCCTGTATCTATACCAACACTAACAGGTCAACAGGGCCTGTATCTATACCAACACTAACAGGTCAACAGGGCCTGTATCTATACCAACACTAACAGGTCAACAGGGCCTGTATCTATACCAACACTAACAGGTCAACAGGGCCTGTATCTATACCAACACTAACAGGTCAACAGGGCCTGTATCTATACCAACACTAACAGGTCAACAGGGCCTGTATCTATACCAACACTAACAGGTCAACAGGGCCTGTATCTATACCAACACTAACAGGTCAACAGGGCCTGTATCTATACCAACACTAACAGGTCAACAGGGCCTGTATTTATACCAACACTAACAGGTCAACAGGGCCTGTATTTATACCAACACTAACAGGTCAACAGGGCCTGTATCTATACCAACACTAACAGGTCAACAGGGCCTGTATCTATACCAACACTAACAGGTCAACAGGGCCTGTATCTATACCAACACTAACAGGTCAAAAGGGCCTGTATCTATACCAACACTAACAGGTCAACAGGGCCTGTATCTATACCAACAATAACAGGTCAACAGGGCCTGTATCTATACCAACACTAACAGGTCAACAGAGCGTGTATCTTTACCAACACTAACAGATCAACAGGGCCTGTATCTTTACCAACACTAACAGGTCAACAGGGCCTGTATCTATACCAACACGAACAGGTCAAAACAGCCTGTATCTATACCAACACTAACAGGTCAACAGGGCCTGTATCTATACCAACACTAACAGGTCAACAGGGCCTGTATCTATACCAACACTAACAGGTCAACAGGGCCTGTATCTATACCAACACTAACAGGTCTACAGGGCCTGTATCTATACTAATCAGTATACCATCAGTAATATTGCTTCATGCTACTTGTATCATATACAAACAAACAAAAGTTTGACCAAACCTTCAAAGAGGTCAACAGGATATGAAGTGTTACAAATTTCTCACCTATAGAACGGTAACCTGCTGCGAGGGCAGAATCCAGGACACTGTACACTAGTTCTTTTCCTCTGATTTTGAATGTTCCAACTTTAAACAAAAAATAATACAACTACACAATTCCTGTTACAGTCAAAGTTTAAAACAAAAAAGGAGTTCCATTTATATCTGAAAAATCAAATCAATAATTGTAACAAGGTTGTCTTTGATAAAGTAACTGTTATAATGATTGCGATCACCAATTAGGTAATTCTTCATAATTGATATAACATGTTGATTTTTCTTTGCTTCAGCCTCGGAGTTTTAAATTCAGGACAAGACAAATATTTCTTTTGTTGGTACTTACATCCAATAAGAGGCATAACCACACCAGAATTCAGTGTGACCGCCATTGTGAACTCATTGATTGTAGTCGGTCTATATTAGACTTGTATGCTCATATCTGTGTGTTGTGGAATCAGAGTTTCACTTAGAATCAATAGAACCTAAAAGGGAAGAAAATGGTAACAGACATAATAAACAAGTTTGTTAATTATCTGGTAACTACTATTTTTCTCCCTGGCAAAAATATGTACCGGTGTATATATCATCCAGCCCCAATCCAAACCAAAAAGAAACCAGCTAATATCTCTCCCAATTAATTATTGTACACACAGGCTACACTAAACAAAACCAAAATTATTGGTAATTAGTTTTCCAAACTTTTTGCAGGGGCTGATAATTCATTAAGGATGAGTTCCAGGACCGACAAAAATGATCGACAAACTAAGCTAAAAATACAATAAAATCTGTAAATCACCTATCAAGCCCAGATTTTCTAAGCAGTTCCGATAAAGTTCCGATTCATAATGACACAATTTTCAAACTTTTATTACTATTGTCCTTCAAATTCATATTGATGAATTCTTATACAAATGTTTGTTGCTATATATGGTAATCCAAGGGTGTCACATAATATACTTTATCTATTTTGCAATAAGCCTAGAGGTCAAATACATTGCCATTGACATGAAGTCAGGTGTTTGGCTAATTACCAGACAATTAAATTGTCTGTGTTGGTAAAGCTACTGAATTGTGTCAGATACAGTAACAGTGGGCTTATTACCAAGCATGGGCTAATTGCTGGGCAAAAATGATTGCAAATTTTTTTCTCTCTGCGTCCTTAATGAATGCCATGGTGAAATCAAAAGGCTCACAACAAGGCATTTTATTGGTTCAATGCATTAAAAACTGACCAATCGCTGGGCTGATTTGAGTAGCTTTTGAAGCAATATACCTAGATCAGAGCCAATTAGTTTTGGTGTTATATGGCCTATATTTGCTGCCCAATGTAATTTCTGTGAATATCACAGACATGTATAACATGAAATTTACTTATTGTATAGATATCCTATAGTAAGCACTACTTGCTTTTGTCAAATAAAATTTAGCTATTTCTTTGTATTTACTGAAAATTTCAATGTTGGGTTCAGTGGCTTAATAACTTGACGAATCAACACCATAACTTATCCTTCCCAAATCTTGAGCCTTTGAACCATTACAAATTTTAAAATGTGCACTAGGATATGTACATAAATCGAACCCTTGGATTTCGAAGATGTCTTTGGCCAGAGTTGAGATTAAGTTCCCAATCGTTTCAAATTTCAGGGAATGATATCATTCCAGAGACACCCTTTTCATTTTGACAGTCCAGAATTTGTGTTCTTGGGAGGGTTAAACTGCCGAATTCCGTGGCGTCAATGGATTACAATTTTTATCGTGGATCAAACAAATAAAAGAAAGTTCCGCACATGTTTGAATGCTTGATTATACAATGAAAGACATCATGTACCTTGGTATTCGGTGTATTATGCCTAACTGCTATACAGTTTGTAGCTGTACAGTAAGTCACACTTACGACTGTATAACATTAATTTTTTGGTCCGTTATAAATACAAACCAGACGACACAGAAATAACTCGTGCATCAGCCAGAAAATTTTCCATCACACCTTCATGATTTCGTTTTTGGGCGAAATTAGGTCAAATGGCTATATTTAGAATTTCTATCTTTACTGGAATAATCCCAAGTTGTTCCGGCTGGATGGGGAAGAACCCGAGAACGGTTTGGCAGGTTTGACATTGGCGGTGTCGATGGTATATTTCCCCAAATTATAAGTTCCAGTACGTGCTTTTTAAACTTTTAATTACCATTCAGGTCAAATAAAGCAATATGTTTTTATTCCTTTTGTCTTTACGTTTTTTAAAAATTAAAGTCACGTTATGGGAAATGTACACCTGATTCAAGAAATACGGCATGTTTTCTTTCTGAAACCGGGTTTATATTTGCATATCTAATTCCAGCAACACCGCCCGGCAAAGCTGTCGCAACGTGCACTCCGCCAGCTGTCTTCGAGCAACGAAACCACAATGTCGTTCACTTTAAATTCCGTTTTGATAACTGACGAAATTGACCAGAAATGTGTCGAGATTCTTCAGAACAATGGCATTAATGTGGTCAAAAATACAAAACTGTCAAAAGACGAACTTCTTGTGGAAATTGCGGTAAGTGTCCGTGTCTGCTTCCCTGTAATGTTTCCAGCGACTGGACATCGTTGGTGAGTGAAAATAATTTCAATTTGTGATACATTTGCTCCAAAATTCGGTAAGCTACTGCAGTAATTGTCAACAACTTTTTATTTTGCTTGTAAGGTAGCAAAGGAGACATTTGTATATATTTTCATGTTGTTTTTTTACATAAACAACCCTAGGTTTTCTCCTAGGTCAATAATACTTATGTAAGTGTACTACTTTATTGTAGGCATACCAGGCACACATAAACTTCTTAACATAAATGTATTTTATCTTTTATTTCGAGTTAAAATTGTCTCTAGTGAACAAATTACTTTCTAATTCCATGGGCCTGGAATATGCCTGATGCCAGTGTACTAAACTGGTTTTTTTCTTCTAAATTTCGACCATTTCAGAAGTATGGTGACTTTCATGGAATTTGGTGACCTTAAATTCTATGACATTTGAATGGTACAGGATGCATTATTCTGTTAGCTTTGGACCATGCGCATGGTTCTCTTGTCACAAGTTATTTTCCTAGTATAACTGAATATATACACAATTACTCCCTGTGTATCTATCTGCAAGTTTTATCCTATAAACAGGGAATATATATATGGGTAAATACTGTGACTAGTCATTTTATCCTATAAACAGGGAATATATATATGGGTAAATACTGTGACTAGTCGTTTTATCCTATAAACAGGGAATATATATATGGGTAAATACTGTGACTGATTGTTGGCCTCAAGCATAGCATTAGTAAATCAATATTGTCTACAATATCCTGTCAGAATCTCAAGGTCATTATTCAGTAAAGTTCATTACATATTGATATATATATATATATATCACCTTTGATATAAAAGAGCTTATCAGAACACTAAAAATATCATTTTATTTACATTCATAGTTTTGTCTCACTTCTACAAAAGAATAGTAATGATTTTAACCTGAATCACTTTAAATACATGTGCATTCCTTGTCTGCCATAAAAGTCATACCCTTACAAGATTAGAATGACCTTAATCGAGAAATCGTGCAAGGTAATCCTGTAAGTTTAATATGGTGCCATTGATGTTTACTATATATAGATCCTAAAGTTATTTTCTACTTATTTCCTCTGTTTTAACAGAAACCCTGACCTTTATATGTAAATGTTGCAAAAAGTTCCACTGACCTCAACACCAGACTTTAAATGTATTCTGATTTAGGCCAACACAATATTCATCTGTCAACATGTCAAAAAAATACTGCTGATGGGGCAACTAGAAACTGGGTGATGACAAGGATGACTTTTTCTTTCAGGCAATTTTTTTTACATTCAGTGTCTATTAGTTTTAAATGACTTTGTAAAAAGTAGATACTGCCTTTGCACAAATAAGAATACAAAAGAAGTCACTTCACTTTTTCTTTGCAAATCCAAAGTAAATTCTAGGAAAATAGAAATCTTTATATTATGTCTTGTATTTTGCAAAAATGGTATTTTGAAATGACCTTGACACTACAACCTTTACAGAAGTACCATCAATCTTGTGATTACAGAAGTACGATGGCCTTGTGGTTCGTTCTGCCACCAAGGTGACAGTTGATGTGATCGAGGCAGCGACCAACCTGAAGATTATAGGTCGAGCCGGAACAGGTGTAGACAATATCGACTGTGATGCTGCATCCCGCAAGGGAATCATTGTCATGAAGTACGACATCTTTATCATATAATTATTTTCTGTTATCGTCATTTTAAGGTTGCTTTCTTTTTGCAAGTGAAGATAGATATTCCTATATGTGTGTTGTTTATTTTAAAGAAAGAAAAGAGAGAAAAAAATAAGATTACAGATAAAATACATCTGATTATGACACATTTAAATAAGGGCTCTATTATTAAGCGTCTGGAGTGGCTACCTTAGTCAATATTTTGAGAACTTATATTTCTTTATCTATAAACAGAATTCAAGTAAACTTTTGTGGAGTTATTACAGAAATATTGAATAAAAATTTGTTGACAAAACAAGACTTTCTTTCAACAGAACATTTTGTTTAATTTTCACATATCACTCATTATTGATATTGATGAGAAAATTGAAATGACAACAAATTAATTGCCATAATTATGACAACTGTTCTCATGAGTATTAAGGATTTTTGTGCTAAATGTTTATTCCCACAGCTTAAAGATTAAATTCAATCAATATGGTGTGATCCTGGCTGATTGTTGTTTGTTGTTTTCAGTACCCCAGGAGGGAACACACTCAGTGCAGCAGAACACACATGTGCCCTGATATGTGCATCGTCCCGGTTAGTATTGGGTATCCAGAATACCATACTCTGATCTTGTTTTAGCATACTATTATCTAAAGTACACAAATTCATAAAATTACTGCTCTTCTCAGTTTATGCAGTAATGTAACACTTGTTATTAACGTTGGCTGGAAAAATCTAGTCATCTAAAGTGGCTAAAAGAATTTTGACAAAATTTCGCAAAGATCGCCCTGAAGGCAGAAGGATCAATTGTTTATATAACTATTACTATTTTGATCAGCATTCTTTCTCCCCAAAACTCCAATGACGTAAAGACGTTGTGAAACTCAGATGACTTTTACCTTCAAAACAACTTTTCTTTATATCATAATCATCAAAATGATTACATGACCTTGTATGACCTCTGTCCTCAGACATGTACACCAAGGGGACCGTGCTATGAAGGGAGAGAATTGGGGAGAGCGTAAGAAGCTAATGGGTTCTGAGTTGTATGGTAAAACTCTAGCCATTATTGGACTCGGACGGATTGGAAAGGAAGTTGCTCTTAGAATGCAGTCCTTTGGTATGACGGTAAGTGTTTGATAGTTCTAGTAGGTTTATTATTACTGTGATGTCGTTTATTTTTGAGAGGAATTTATTTTCGTTGATTTTGAGGGCACACTCAATTCCCAAAATCACTCATCCATGAACTTTCAAATTAGCATAGACAGATTTATTTAGCTATATTTATCAGCCAAACAGTAATATTTTGAAAAGCCATGAAAATTGGGCCCCATTAAAATGTATTGATTTGTCAGTTCATTGTGTTTATTACTACAGCAATTGGTATTAATTCACATGACTTTTCCACTTGATACATTGTGCTTTAACCAGAAACTTTTTGAGGACAGGTTTTCCTTGGTTACACAGTTGTAAAAATATAGATGTCTTGTCATGCATATCCCCTATGTATATATCAATATTAAGAAACTAGCTGATGATCCATTATGATCTGATATTGTCTCTCTATCAGACAATTGGCTTTGATCCAATCATCCCAGGGTCAGTTAGTGCAGAGTTTAATGTTGAATGGATGCAGCTGGAGGATATCTGGCCAAAAGCAGACTACATTACTGTCCACACCCCTCTAATTCCTCAAACGAGAAGTAAGTACTGTTGCTGTATGAGAGTGTTATAACAAAGTCAAAGTCATGTTGTGATTTTGATTTAAAGTCATTGGACTTGGTTTCATTTCTGAATTAATACAGAGGATATTGAAAATCGGGTGTAAAATGTTTATGTTGTATTACCAGTTGCAGTTTACTGAACAGGTTTTTATGATATTGATATTTCAGATCTCATCAATGACAAGGTTTTCTCCTTGTGTAAGCGTGGCGTACGTGTCATCAATGTGGCTAGAGGTGGTATTATAGAGGAAGAGGCACTGCTCCGTGCTCTTGAGTCTGGTCAATGTGGTGGTGCTGGTATAGATGTGTACAGCTCAGTAAGTACCTTTCTCAACAGCATACCACATATACACACATCAACTGTAGTCTGTTCTGTCCCAGCTGAAATAAAGCCATTATTTTTACATAATGGTTTATAATGTTATTCACTGTGGAAAGGCACAGGCTTTGATAGTTGTCTTTGATAGAGAAGGAAGAACCGAATAAAAGCCCTCTGGTGGAGCTGGGACACTTTACCTTTTCATATCTGATCTGGAAATCAAACCTTTATCACTTTCGTAAAAGGCCAGAGTGGTATCCAGTGGTTCTGTTTGACATTATGTTCTCCCTGATGATTGAAGCAGTAAAATTGATCATTTGTTATCAGCTCAGGGCTATTCAAGTAAAACATCTAGCCAACACCCCAGCACTGGACAGGTTTTGTTGAGATGCACCCTCTATAAGATTTATCATTTAATGATGTCATGAAATCAAACCGGGGATAGAGGTGATTTATTTTTGAGTCCAGGGATCACATGGATGTTTTACTGGAATAGCTCTCCTCATGTACAAAAACGTTTTCTAAAGTATCAAAATATACAGGTTGCATTGTTTGTTTGAAACAGGAGCCTCCAAAGGACTTTAGCTTGGCCAAACACAAGAATGTTGTGGCAACGCCTCATCTTGGTGCCAGCACAGTGGAGGCACAACAGAGAGTCGCAGTAGAGATAGCAGAACAGTTTGTGGATCTAGTCCAGGGGAAGAAACTCTTTGGGGCTGTAAGTGTTATAACACTGGTGCTTAATTCTTCAGAAGAACTCCCAATATATATAAAAATCTGGTGATACAACTAAACCAATAATTATGGCTGTTTATCTTGGTGAAGATCTTGACATTTTGCTTGTGATAGTTGATTTACACCAGTTGTTTTTCTCTACCAGGTGAATGCTCCAGCCCTGACAAATGCCATGGATGTTAAAACTTTGCCCTGGATAGAACTGGGCAAGAAACTTGGTGTAGTGGCAGCAGCTGTGAATGACCAAAACCAGGAGTTCAGTGTTGTCTTGTGTGGTATGTTTCAAATGTCTTCTACCCTAATCTGATGTAAAACTATCCATGTTACAAGCTCCGTTTTATCATGCCGAGGACAGTTTTAAAGGCCTTTTCCATTTCTTGATTTTAATCAGGTTCTAACCTCGGGAAGTCAGCAGGTTCCTTTATGACTGCAGCTGTGTTGTCCGGTCTTATACAGAATTCATCATTCCTAGGAGCAGGTGACAGCAGTAAATTGAACCTTGTTAGTGCTCCAGCTCTCGCTAAACAGTATGGTATCAATGTAAGTATTTTGTTCAGTTCTCGCTAAACAGTACAGTACAGATGTAAGTACTTTATCAATGTTCCAGCTCTCACTGAACAGTACAGTACAGATGTAAGTACTTTATCAGTGTTCCAGCTCTCACTAAACAGTACAGTACAGATGTAAGTACTTTATCAATGTTCCAGCTCTCACTAAACAGTACAGTACAGATGTAAGTACTTTATCAGTGCTCCAGCTCTCACTAAACAGTACAGTACAGATGTAAGTACTTTATCAATGTTCCAGCTCTCACTAAACAGTACAGTATCAATGTAAGTACTTTATCAATGTTCCAGCTCTCACTAAACAGTACAGTATCGATGTAAGTACTTTATCAGTGTTCCAGCTCTCACTAAACAGTACAGTACAGATGTAGGTCCTTTATCAGTGCTCCAGCTCTCACTAAACAGTACAGTACAGATGTAAGTACTTTATCAGTGTTCCAGCTCTCACTAAACAGTACAGTACAGATGTAAGTACTTTATCAATGTTCCAGCTCTCACTAAACAGTACAGTACAGATGTAAGTACTTTATCAGTGCTCCAGCTCTCACTAAACAGTACAGTACAGATGTAAGTACTTTATCAATGTTCCAGCTCTCACTAAACAGTACAGTATCGATGTAAGTACTTTATCAGTGTTCCAGCTCTCACTAAACAGTACAGTACAGATGTAGGTCCTTTATCAGTGCTCCAGCTCTCACTAAACAGTACAGTACAGATGTAAGTACTTTATCAGTGTTCCAGCTCTCACTAAACAGTACAGTACAGATGTAGGTCCTTTATCAGTGCTCCAGCTCTCACTAAACAGTACAGTACAGATGTAGGTCCTTTATCAGTGCTCCAGCTCTCACTAAACAGTACAGTACAGATGTAGGTCCTTTATCAGTGCTCCAGCTCTCACTAAACAGTACAGTACAGATGTAGGTCCTTTATCAGTGCTCCAGCTCTCACTAAACAGTACAGATGTAAGTACTTTATCAGTGTTCCAGCTCTCACTAAACAGTACAGTACAGATGTAGATACTTTATCAGTGCTCCAGCTCTCACTAAACAGTACAGTACAGATGTAAGTACTTTATCAGTGCTCCAGCTCTCACTAAACAGTACAGTACAGATGTAAGTACTTTATCAGTGTTCCAGCTCTCACTAAACAGTACAGTATAGATATAAGTACTTTATCAGTGTTCAAGCTCTCACTGAACAGTACAGTATCGATGTAAGTACTTTATCAGTGTTCCAGCTCTTGCTAAATAATACATGGTATCACCAGAAGTATCTTGCTTTGAAAAACATTTTGGTGTTTTTATTTTCAGTACATCATTTTTTACATTGGGAAATAAGTGCACTTTTTAAAAAGTAACTATCGGAGATAATCAGAATATTTAGAGACCAGGCAGAAATCTGTTTTTCAGAGTTCATATATTATTTCATGATCCTGAACTATTTTTTATATGCCGGTCATTCATAAAACAAAAGTACTCTATAAGTCTGATGTCTTGGAATGATTTCATCTTTTATGACTGCTGTATGTGCACTGCCCAGTATGGTTATTGTTAACATACTTAATTTGATGCAATTAATTATAGTGTGTTATCTCTCTTTGAAAAAATAAAGGCAGACTTTGTGTTTCCATGGTAATTGTTAAATAAAAAATTTGTGATATGTTGGTGTAATACTGTCAGTGTGGAACACACTTAATAAGATAACAGCTAACATATGCAGGTTTACAGTTCCTCCCATGTTTTGTTACAGTCTACCAGTACATATGAGGAAAAAGCACCTGCTCCTTACACTGATCTTGTGAGTGTTGTGTTCAGTAATGGATTCCGTGTGTCCGGGACCACATCAGGGGGCCAAGCTTTATTGGTGGAAATTCAGAATCAGACCTTCTCTTCACCAGCCTGTCTTTGTTCTCCTGTTCTTCTTTTCCGAGGGACCTCCAATTCGCAGTTCATCCCTTCAGTCGCAGGTAAGCAACACAACACAAAAACGTGCCTTCAATACGATGTCTTCTACTACAAATTACACATTCATCTGTTTACATTTCTGTCTCTTTTCTGTTAGAGTTATATTTTGATGAACTAGTCGATACTTATATTTATGAATAGCTGTAACCTTCACCAATCAATTGTTCAGTACAATACTTCTATAAACTTGGCCTGAATATCAATTTGACCTGTATTGTTACCAATTACATATGTTTCCCTAGGTTTGTTTATAATGTTAAAATGTACTTCCAAGGTTCAATGAAAGAATTTAAAAACAATTTGATGTTGACAGGTGCATTGGCTGGAGCAGGTGTCACAATCACAAGCGTGAATACATCATCAGAGACAGATGGACAGAAATGGGGAGTGGCCACCTTTGCAGTGCCCCCCTCAGAGGGATGTCTTGAGGCACTCAAGTCTCTGGTCTCTGCAGCACGACTCATTGCCTTCTAAATGCACATTTTTACCCAGCAAAAAATTTAGTGTGTTCTTACGGGGCACATATTGATTGATTGACATGTGCGAAACCATAAATTTGACTGTTTCACAAACGTTTATAGATCATCCACTGGGGATTGATGCTTTCAACTCTTGACTGATCAAGTGAGTGAGTGTTCTAGCCAGATTTTAATCAGCTGTCAATTTGCCTGTGTGTGAGAAAGAGTATTGAAGGAGTGACCACAATAACATTTAGGTGTCAAATGTTTAATTGGACTTGGATCTTTATGGTTTTCAGTTACGAAATCTGTTATCTTGGGCATTCATTGTTAGTGCAATAGGCTATAATATGAAAGGGCATTCATTGTAGGTGCAATAGGCTATAATAAGAAACAAATACATAAAGCCCTCAATGTAAGCTCCTTTATTGCTATTTCATTATCTTTTACATGCCATATCCTGTGTTCATCTCCAGATTTATTGCTGAATAGCTATGGCACTTGAAAAGGATGGGTTGAGGTATAATACTTAAAATTCAAATACAAACTCTACCATGGTTGGTGAATAATTTTGATTCAAAGTTTATATTTATTCACTATTTAATTTGTTAGTTTCTGTTTAGAGTGTTATAGCTTACTTGTGTGCAGTACGTTCATGGCTGCTGGCGTTACAATGTGACATACCATTTCAGACCATTTTTGCTTTAATCAAAGGAACGTTTATTTCACCCTAGTATATTGATGATATCCGTCCTTATCCATGTAAAACAAATTCAAATATTTTAGAACAAGCTTGAATCTCTACTTAGAAATGTTAAGACAATGTCATCACTGCCTTTAACAACACTAGTGAATCCTTACTTAAGCTTCAGGTCATGTTCTAATTTCTGTGTTCATATTAGATTTGAAGTTGATAACACAATAGTCACTTGGTTATGTGATAATAATGGCAGATTTCAGCCAATCAGAATCTCTCATTTTCTGTTTACTCGGAACCCTGGAAGATTTTTGATGAAGCCATAACATGTTGTTTAAATCTCCACCTCATAAATACTCTTAAGTATAATTTTCTGGTATACAATATTGCTAGTGTTTTATTAATCATTACGTAAAATCATATATTTTTGTGGGACTTCAATTTTGTGGTTTTCCAAAATATACATATAAATTGTAAATCCTTGTCAACATTTATCTGTATATATATTTCAAGGGCATAGAAATTGGTGGATTTTAAAGTACCGTCAATTTCAATGAAAATCACTCCCCATGAAAATAAATGATTTTTCTGATGAGCTTTTCTTTCCTTTTTTCTGTGTGAAGTAGATCTGACTAAACTCTTTCGGGGAATACGTGAAGATGCTTACAGCAACCAAGTTCTTTGGCTTACTTTACTTGGTAATGTTAGATTTTGCAGTATTTTTCATGGCTTGGCTAGTGACATTTCAGCTATACACACATTGTGCTGTTTAGGTCGGATTTAACATGTTATTTGTTATCTTAACTCTATCTTATTTGCTTTATTTTAGTGGAAACAATTGAACCAAAGTAACTTTTTTGTTGACACTCGAAGATGATCAATAAAGCATTAATTGTAAATTGCATATTTGTTTGTGAAAATACTCATTATGTCTTATTTCATTTTAATTTAAAATTCCTTCAAATACATTATATAGAATAAGAACCGTTTTGTCCTGTGTATCATTAGTCAGAGACTTTACTCTTTAGGCCAATATTTGAGCCAGGGCTCAAAATGAATGTTTTACCTAAACAATATTTGCTGATCTAAATATATACTCCTCCAATAATTATTATTGTTATTCTTTGTCTTTATATTTGATTAATGCTACCTTAACAAAAGTAAACAGCACACCATCTCGGGTGTCTTAAATAGTGTCCATCACCACAGGCCTTCGAAATATAACAAAACACAATATATTCTTCAACATGACCATATAATTAAATGCATGTATGTTACATAAGAAATATGTTATTTACAAGGTGTAATCACAGCATGTTGAAACTTCCTCTACAAAACCATAAACCCCCTCCCTTACTGTCAAACAGTAATGGTTATTTAAACGAGACCAACCTTTCTTCATTTATATAAAAATAGATTTCCATTTAGCGCACATGATATACAGTAGGAAAACATGTCTGAAACCTGGCTAATTTGACCCTGTAGAACACAAATTTTCAATCAATACAAACAGTTAATGTATGTCATAACCCTGTTTCTTTTTACAAAAAGTATAACATAATGGACCAGGGATCAGGATACCAAAGTTACCATGTAAAAAGGGAGTCCATTTTGCAAAATTTTATAACACTGGGATCAGATCATACAAGATGTTTTACAGAGACCACACTATACAAGATGTTTTAATGTTCAGGGTTCAGATTCACAATATATTTCTTTTTTTTTTTAATTCCTTCAAACCCTAGTATTACTGAGAGACTTTTTTCATACCTTGTGCAATATCATTATATTAACCTTGCAACTGTTTTACAAGAATGATACATTTAGCAAAATCAGTCTACCTTGTAATTTTTGAAAAACATTATCTACAAAAACTGCCTCATCCAGCTTGGATCTTTGGTCCCAAAACATTTCCCTTCTTATTCTACAATGTAGTTCAAACAAATGTTTTCTGAAATCCTGTTTTACTTTAAAATCATTTGTCGTTAAATTTTGTTATAATACCTCTGTGACAGCTAAGGTCATTTGAAGATGGCACACACAGAAAATAGCAGCACTCGAGACACTTTTATAGTCTTCTACTCTTAACATGTAAATTTTCCTTAAATCAACCTGTTAATTCTGAATTTTCTCTTGACAAATGACCTTCACAGTAAGTAAACTTTTAAGTTGCCTATGATTATCGTTCTCCTATGGGTGAAGAATACAACCATATCATATCACACTTTCAGTTGTTAAGATTCATTCAACATATACTTCAAAAGTATTTCTGAGGGAAAAAAAGGTAGAATATTTTTGTTAACAAATTATGTTTTTATTTTGATCTGAACATTTATCATTTTTGTCTAAAAGAGTTTTAAAAGTTTAAATAGAAAAAATTATAGTTTGATGGCTATATGTACATTTGATCTTGAATATTGTCTTGGTATAAACTTGACATATTTCTACCCTGGTGACATTGTGTTCGGACAAGCTATACATTAATAGTGTTTTTCAGTACAATCACCCATACTACAGATCTGTGCCTAAATTGATCCTTCTCATGATAAGTTCCCCTCAGCAATATTCAACCAATAAAGAATCCCCAGTGATGACTTGTAAGAAGAGTTAAGATGAAATTACAAAATCTGGAAAAAGTCCAGATTGACTGCAAAAAAGGATCAAGCAATATATGTACAATGTCCAAATTACATCCGATCTGTGTAGTAGGTAAAAGACATATCTCTAAAATACAATTAACTATTCACTCCAAAATTAATCACTATCTTGAATAAACATTACAGCCTAGAGAAAAGTAACATGATAAACTCTATTGCCACATCAAAACATTTTCAGTTAAAAAAATCAATGTAAGTTACCCATCATGCCATTATAGGCAATTGCGTCATGTCTACAAGACATCCATCCACTCATTCTTCAAAATAGGTACATTTATTGTTATCACATAATTATCCTTTTATCATTGTAATTACACCCACTACCTATCATTACTATTTTTCCTTATACTTACTTAGGTTTCCTTTGTTTTCATTGTGGTGTCATTACATACATTGTGACATCACCAAAGAAATATATAGAGTGACGACATCACTTATTTACTTTTTGTATCTGTCTTCTGAAAAAAACTTTTTTCATAAAAGTTTGCAAAAGTATCTAAGTATTGTAATAAACAGAATCTTACATTCCTTCATTTCCATATGAGATTTATGAAAAGAGTCTTAAAATTTGTCATTTTAACAAGCCTTTAATACCTGGTAACTGAATGTGGACAGTCAGCAAACAATCCATGATCTACCAGACTTCATTTAACACTATAATATGTTCCACTAGCTACATGGGAAAAACAAAGCTGATTTGCCAGGTCTTACCAAGATCTTGATAATAACTTGTGCAGTCCACGCTTACTATAAGAAATAAAATACAGATTGAATGAAAATAATGACCAAATCTAGGTCCAAACGTTTCAGAAGTTAGTGTCTGCATATTAAGAGCTGATATTTCACTCAAAACAAAAAATAAATAAAAAAAAAAAACACCCTCAAATGTCCTCCTGAGAAATATGGATGAGATATAAATGAAATAAAGTGTTTGGTGGTCAACTTTTGAGGCAGAAATATATACACAGATGAAAGTGTATTAATTGAAGCAAGGACAGGTTGTTACCACCACAAACACACACCATAATCATTCAAAATACACAGATGTACCTTCATTCAAAGTTTTATAGGAAAGTTCAGAAGCCATGTCTCCTCTCACTAACAATGTAACTGTCAATGAGAGGTATGTGAATCAGACCAGACTGATTTGTCACCGTCATCATTAGAGCAGTGTGAGAAAAAACCAGCATCTGTATTCACCTGATCATCTCAAATATCAGACAAACTAAGGAAGTGGAAAAATGCTTTTGAAAATTTTTAAAAATTTTGTTTTATTTGTTTTTTTTTATAATTTACTGAGAACTGATTTTTTCATGTGAGAGTCTAATTACATGCTTTCTTACATTTTCAACAATACCCAGGAAATTTACTTAACCATTAAAGCTGAACTGTTAAATGTTTTGATGAGTGAAAATATATCTCTCAGAATCTTTTTTTTTATAGATATAAACAGAGAATAATAAAAGGAAGAATAGTAGAAAAACAACAGGGTAAGTTGATAAGTACTTGGATTTTCCTATCACAGACTCTCTGAGGCTTATATACATTGTACAGTTTTAAAACAGTTATTGTACAACCTGCAAACTACAACTAGCAAAATATACCATCCCGTAGTTAAAACAAAGAGAAAAAAAAAAGAATGTGAAAGATTTAAAACTCTGAAAAATGACTGTGCACTACACCTTTATAAATATGGAAATGAAATTTTATCTGAATTTGAAAAATAAATATTGTGTTCAAATTTGCATCACTGGTAACAAAGCATATATCAACTACCCTCCACATACTTTCCTCTGCAGAATCTATCTGAACAGATGAAACCAAAAAAAAAATATTTAAGCAATATCAACAGAAAAAATCTTTACATACATAAATGAAAGAATGTATAAGAGTAAAACGTCCTTGTGTTTTCTCAAAATTTCTCACAAAATCAATAACACTCTGTACATATACATAAATACAATTAATCTAATATCACACAGATACTGTACAAATATTGCTTCTTTAGCGTAATGGGTCATGACCAACAGCCGTCATCAAACTGCAGATACTGTTAAATAACTACATGATCAAACATTAAAAAAACAACAACATTCAAGGTTATATACAACTAATTCCCATCTGATCCTTGTCTAATGGAAATACAATAGTAAAACAAGAGAACAGCATAGTTCCCTATTGATGACATATTTTATGTAAATACGAATTTACATTTTTCAGCCCAATAAATAGGAAAAATATGGCTCTGCATATTGCTATCCAGTACTATTTTTTAAAAAAAATTGCTAAAACATATTATTACAAGACTTGCTCCCAAAATTCCCATACATATATCCCTTTTGTGCCCCATAAACATGAAAAAATAGGGTTCAGCATATTGATATATGGTATTAATGCTATTTTAACATCAACAGCCCTGTAATGTATATGAATGAGTACAGCTTGAGAAAACTTACTAAACCAAGTTTTTATGTAAGACTTGCTCCCAAAATTCACAAACAGAAAGTTCATCATATTGATCGTAATTCGAATAATCATATTCAAAACTTCAAGATATTTTCAACAAAATAATGAATTTTACAATTTTAGGTGGTCAAGTTGCCATTGGTAACACACTTGCCTTTCATCAATACTACCAGGGCTCGATTCCCACAGTGACTGCAAGAAGGAACAGGGTCACCTATAAAATCATGTGGGTTTTCCCTGAATAATTAATAAATAAAGTTTACATTATACCATGACCAGAAAAAAATAGCTATATCTTTTTTTTTCTCTCTACTTATACATGCAATAATAAAATTGTCATTCTAAATGATAAGTTTTCTCCCTTCAACAATTAAAAATCACTTTCACCTCTAAACCTCTTTGATATGCAACTCTTTTAAAGATTTACCTCTGTTATATACCTTTTATTTCAATAGTCTAAGTCTATGGTAACTATATATATACTAGCATTCCCAATACATCACCACATGGAGAACTACAGGGTACTAGTATATATTTCCCCACCTCTGCCAATGTCGGATACACTTATCCCATGTAAAACCCGTTATTTCCCTAATCTTTTAGAATATTGCTTCAGCTTAGTGTACGTCACATAGGAGTTGTACTATATTCAGCATTGCAGTTGCTTAATCAACATTGTTTTTGCCAAATATTCCTGTAAAAGATAAAAGCAAAATAGTTGACCATAAGTCTGTTTGCTGGATACTGGATACTCTACCTTTCAGTATTATATCCATATC